CGTATGGCACCATATGCAGAACGGATAGTAGGAAAATAGCAGCCTGGTTTCAGAGGTGGCAAATCGACAATTCATCAGATTTCAACCCTGAAACAAATTTTGGAAAAAACACTGGAATATGGCATTGATACTCATCACATAGTTATAGACTACAAAGCAGCCTACGACTCTGAGAATAGAAGAGAAATGTTTAAAGCAATGAAAGAGCTAGGAGTACCAAATCAGTTGGTAAATTTAACAAAACTAACTCTTGAAAAAGTTGAATGTAGAGTAGGAATTCGGGGGGAACTGTCTGAACCTTTTAAAACAAATAACGGGTTGCGCCAGGGAGACCCCCTCTCCTGTATACTGTTCAATCTGACTCTGAAAAAATTAATACGTATGTTACAAATGACAACCACTGATTTAATATATAATAAATCAGTGCACATCCTGGCATATGCTGATGATATCAATATTATTGGTAGAACAGAAAAGGCTGTAGGGGAAGCGTATGTACCATTAAAAAATCAGGTACAAAAATGGTTTTAATAATAAACACCAACAAACCGAAGTATATGAAAATAAGCACGCAACTACAAATCCTATGACCACTTGTTATAGAAAACGACGTCATCGAAGCAATGAATGAATGTGTATACCTGGGAGCGCTCCTTGACACTGAAAATAATACTACCGCATTGATAAACTGCAGAATTTGCACGGTTAACAGATGCTATTTTGGGCTCAATCTCCTCATTAAATCCACAATTATATCGAGAAATACAAAAATAAAACTCTACAAAACAATAATACGCCCAGTCCTAACATATGGTTCAGAGACAGGGCCACCTATTCCGAAGTGCAAATTCGCGTTAACCTTGCGCAGCGACGTCACTCGCAGCTTAGTATTCACATTGCTCTTAATTGTATACATAAGCACTCGTAATTTAGTCATCCTAAATATGGATATTTTGCATATTATTTTACTGTCTTCATACATTTTAAATAAAAACGAATGTTTATAATGATTTCTTAGTCAAATATATTAAATTTTTATGCGAATTAGAACAAATAAGGTATTAGTATAAAAATATAGCTACTTATTTAGGTACCTACATACTTCCACTTTTTATAAACTTTTAAGAAGGACCAAAATTTTTATATTATATATAATTGATAAATATATAGTTAAGTTTAAATACTTAAAACAACCGTCACTTACACAAGTCAGATGCCAATTTTGAAAATAAATATTACGATCGCTTTAATATTCTTGCTAAATAACTATATATAAAGCAGTTTTAAAACAATTTACGTTTAAAAATATAATACTATATACATTATGCAATAGTTTTTTCTATTTTTCTTTTATTAGTACGTGCTAAAATAATTTTTTTATTAAAATATTTTATACGGAAGTACATACGCGATCGAAAAAATATTTTCTTAGCATCTTGAGGACAATCAATATTAACACTTGCAGATAACAGACTTGAAACATATTGTTTGCCAGTAAATATGGTATCTCCATTAAAGTTTTGAAAAAATTGCTCCAGTTTTTCCAAATGGGCCATAAATTCATTAGAAGGTTTACATAGTCCACCTTCTGTCAAATGATTGGTCCAGGTGTAAGACGTCGAACTTGGGTTAGTTAAATTTGGTAACTTGCCTTTAAGCTTGCTACAAATAAATCCTCCTAAATGTTCTAGTCCATCATATCTTAAATCATCGAGTTCTTCACAGAGGACTATGTCATCTCCATCCGTAGGATTGGTGTCAATGATTGTTTTTTTTAAAGCAAGCTTTTCTACCATACTACCTCTCATAGTTAATGTAGGAGTACCATCGTCTTCTACATTACAGTAATCTGAAAAAGCACCTTCATTTTTTCCCATTAAATAAGAACGCAGTCGGTATTTAAAATCTAAAGAAGTTGGATGATCGTTCAAACCACCTTTTGCTCTTATGACTCCAAAAAAATTCTCCAAGGGATCTTGGTTTAAGCGTCTCGTCAAAAGGTAGTAAGATTTACATAAAAGTCAGTCTCTGTAAAATGCTTTGAACAAATATAAGCCGTCTTTGGGTTAAATTTATCTTTTCTACCGGTGGCGTGCACCCACTGTTTAATTAGATTTTCCTCTTTAGGGAAACGAAAAAACCTCGTGCCAGGGCAAGGATTTCGCTTGCTCTGGTTATCAGAGGAACAGCCAAATACCGCACAATGCATATCGTAAAAATTAAAAATATAATTGTGAGAAAACTCCGAAACTGATAACTTCACTCTTCGGTTGCTAGTTTCTAACTAATGCTGCTACCCTTCTTCTTCTTCACGTGCCATCTCCGCTACGAAGGTTGGCTATCATCATGGCAATTTTGACCCTGGAGGCTGCCGCTCGAAACAATTGTATGGAAGTGCAAGCAAACCATTCCCTGAGGTTTCTCAACCATGACATTCTTCTCCTACCTATGCTGCGCCTACCTTCAATCTTTCCTTGCATAATTAGTTGTAACAGTTGATATTTATTCCCACGTGTAATATGTCCCAGGTATTGTAGTTTCCTCATTTTAACACTCAATATGACCTCCTTTTGTTTGTTCATCTTGTCTAATACAACTTGGTTAGTTATCTTATCCTTCCAGGAGATTTTTAACATTCTTCGGTACGCCCACATCTCAAATGCCTCCAGCTGCTACCCAGCATTAGTCAATTGAATACTTAGCCGAGAACCGAAACCTGGAGTATAAAACCCTTTTAGAAGGAAATATTATACAACAAACAGACTACCGAGTTTTTAGAGTTTTTACGTGAGGTGCACTCGGAAGCTTAGATTAAAATTGCGTTGTTCCAGTTTTAAGTCTCCTAATACTTGACAAATTTCCAGAACCAAGCGGTCGGGATCACAATGGATTTTGATTCATTTATTATTGTATTATTAGCTTTTATTACATCATGTACTTTGTAAAGGACCGCTTAGGTATCATTTAAGAATAAATTTATGAATGTTTTCACACGTTTTTGTGAGTACACAAAAATGCTCAATGCAAATTACAGGTATCGCAAGAAAAATTGTATTGTCTCTTACATATTTCTTCTCAAATTTAAGAAAAAGTAAAAATTTCTATCTGAATATAAAATTCGGTAGCGGTACATCGGTAGAAAAGCGGCGAAATCAGTAGGTTTGGGAACACTGCTGCTATCTGCTACGCTGCAACTGACGTCACTCCCTGGCCGAAGATCTAGCGACCGTGCGCAATATGTTACCTCTGTAGTTTATTATACCATGGTTCAGAGACCTGGACTGTAACAAAAATAATGAGAACATGTTAAGATGTTTCGAAAGAGAAGTACTAAGGCGAATCTATGGAGCAGTGAATGACAATGGATTGTGGAGAAGACGATACAACTTCGAACTTGATAGAATATACCAGGAACCAGCTCTGGAGCACATAATTAGAAGTGCAAGAATCGAAAAACCGAATACAGTATTTCATCGAGAAGGACCAAACTTACTACTGGCATTTGCAGGCGATATCGATCTAATAGGAAACACACCATTAAGGATGAAGGAGACTTTCGTGATGTTCGAGAAAGAAGCAGAGAAAATGGGGTTCCAAATTAACGAAAACAAGACGAAATATATGTATATGAGCCACAATAATCAAAGAAGAGACAGACTTTTTGTCCTCCAAAACCATAAAATCAAAACAACTAACAAGACGTACGAAGATACAGGTCTATAAAACAATCATACGTCCCGTTGTGATGTATGGAAGCGAAACGTGGTCGATAACAAAGGCAAACGAAGAGAGACTATGTGTTTGGGAAAGAAAAATCCTAAGGAAGATCTTTGGTCCTGTACTGGATGAAGCATCAGGACAGTATAGGATAAGAACTAACAAAGAGCTCGAAGAACTTTACCCAAACGCCAACATCATAAAAGAAATAAAGTCCAGAAGACTCCAATGGGCAGGACACCTCAGAAGACATTATGACGAACGAACAGTAAGACTGGTGTGGGAGGAAGTCCCAACTGGAAGGAGACCACGCGGACGCCCTCGTCTCCGGTGGCGAGATAATATAGCAGGAGACCTAAGCACTATGGGCGTGGAGAATTGGATGGAGGTTGCTCAAGACAAAAAACAGTGGAGGCATGTTGTCGAGTCGGCTAAAAACCACGAAGGGTTGTAACGCCACGGAGTAAGTAAGTAAGGAACCTGATATCGTAAAAAATATTAAGATAGGACGCTGAAGTAGATAGGGCATATAATGCGGATGAAACAAAATGACCCAGCTAAAAAAACGGTCCTTGATAGACTCATTGGTTAGAGAAGAAGAGGAAGACCCAAAACAAGGTTCCTTGATCACATCGACGAATACATGAGAAATAAAGGAATTCTTGAGGAGGCTAGGACCCACGCAGGGTTGTAAAGCCAGAATGATGATGATGAACACATCTACTGGCATGCTAAAAGCAATTCTCTTAAAACTAATCAGATACTAATAGGTAGAAATTGATTTAGTTTCCTGAACACATTGTATATAATTTAGAAGGAATCAATACTCACAAGACTAATAACAATTTTGGAAAAACCACATAAGAAAATCGAGATCCTATTTCTTTACCCACTCACTGTAAAATAAATACGTCCTGTAGCAAGCAAATAAGGAAAACAAAAATAAAACAAGATTACCCTGAAGATGAGACAAAACACTACAAACACCTCATACCTAACATGAATTTTATAAACAATTATAGTTTGAGATCAACCATTCGTTCATCACATGTAAAATATAATAAAATTTCAGAACCTTTTTATAACATGAGGAGTAAAATACTAGACAAGGTTCTAATTCAGGAATATCTAATACTATACAAAAAATGCCAATATTCTAAAAGTAATATGTCATCACTATCGCAATCTAAATGTGTTGACGTACAATTAGTGATTATTTTACGTTGAGTAGAGTTGGATTTATAGCTGCAGATGTCGTGCCAATCTCACGCAATAAATATGGGCGGGAATTATATAGTAGTAGGATAGTAAGTAAATCAGCGAGCCATGTGGCAGAAATCGTAAGTGAGTATACTTTGTATTTAGACTATAAAATGATTAACATAATAGTTAACAGAAATGAATGGTTTCCTTTTGGTTAAAAATATTTTTGATAGCATAAAAGTTGGTTATCATATCAATCATATCATATTTTCGTCAGAATGAATTTTGCAAATAATTGCGATTGCGAGTATTTAAAGGATTATGTTTTTAATTTATGAATGAAAAGAATTTACTATGCTATAAAATATGTGTTTCTATTTGCTTTATGATTTTTTTATTCATGAGTGTAGATATATGTTTTAAAAAGTTAGTGGAGTTCGTGCTGGTTCTTTATTAACACCTCCGCATTTCTCCCAAAAATACCGGATGCAGATAAGGACCAGTATTGTTTCGTTAATTTAAAACAGATGGATAGAACACTGTCAAGTTCAGAGAATTCTATTCGGTACTGGTTGTGGTTGTTTGGATTTGAATGATCTTTTGCTTTGCTTTCATCTCTGTATTTAATGTTGGAGGGGAGGAGACTAAAAGTTTATACAGAAGTTCATTTTTTTACTTCATTTCAGATTATGGTTTAGCGATACCGTGGCAATAAATCTGATGTCATATTAATCAAGAAAGTGTACTTAATTTATAAAAAGTCTGTGATAATATAGAGCAGGTAAGTCCTATTTTATCGATAACTTATAATCAAAAATAATTAATTAAAATAAGGTGAAGCATAAAATCCAATTCTATTCTTCAATTTCTAAATAATGATTAATTTTTATAGTTATATTTAAATGTTGATTATAAATAAAATTATTAAAATAATACAATAAGTAAGTGTTAAATTAAAATCACAGATTGATATCTTGGAAAATACATGTATATAATAGTTACTGAACATAAATTTGCATTATTTACGAGGTGTATTGTTTCAAATTGTTGGCGAATGACTATTACTAGACATAAAAATAATTTTTACTGAACTCTTAAATATCTCTTTGCTCACTATCTACGGTACTCACAATTGTAAACGTGAAAGTAGTGGCGATTAAGGTCTTTTATTAAGAAAATTCATTTTTATAGCGCATGTATGTAGGTACAACATATAATATGTATTTTTTTTTTAAATGATACAAACATCACATTATGATTCTTTAAGAAGGGTATTTTAAAGGTTTTTCATTAATAAGACAAAACTGTAGCAGAGTTATCTCCTTTAATTCAAATATTATCGTATATACAGGGTGTTTCAAAAAGGTATGTCATAAATTAAATCACGCATTCCTGGGACAAAAATAAATTTATTGAATCCAACTTACCTTAGTACAAAAGTGTACACGAAAAAAGTTACAGCCCTTTGAAGTTACAAAATAAAAACTGTTTTTTTGCTTTATTATTCAAACTACTTGACATTTTGTAATAAAAATGGACACGTTACTTTCTTGTTATGAAAGCATTTTTTATACTAAAGAAACAACAAAATCTAACCGCATAGAAAAATTTTAAGGGGGGTGTGCAGCCCTAAATCCCCCCCAAATTTTTGAGTACGTTCAAATCAAATACATTTTGTGGCATTTTTAGTTTAACGTATTATTTTTAAAACTTTTTTGCCTCTTAACACTTTTTTCAAAAAACACTTGTTATTGAGTTACGGCCTTTTTCATTAATCTTTAAAAAATTACGTGCAACTAAATAAATGGCTTAAATTAATTAACAAGTACAAAAAACGTCTACAACCCCTATAAATATATTATAATAAATTTTCAAAATCACTCACATTTTCTTCAATACACATTCGGTATCGTTTTAATAAGGCAACCCGAATGCGCTGAATATATTTTTCTGACGAAATTCGTTTGCAGCTTCAATTATTTTAACCCTCAATTGTCGTTCGTCCTCTATTGTTACAGAATACACTTTCTCTTTTATAAACCCCCAAAAGCAAAAGTCCATGAGGTTAAGACCTGGACTTCTGGGTGGCCAAGAAATAGATGCGTCACGACCCCTTCCAATGCACCGACCAGGATACTGCCTGCAACGGTATTCCCGGACTTCATTACTATAATGCGGTGGAGCGGCATCTTGTAGAAACCACATATTTTGCTTTATTGCAATATTCACTTCTTCCAAATATTCTTGTAAATCGTTTGCCAAGAACTGCAAATAATTATCACCATTTAAATTGTTGGGAAGAAATACTGGGCCTATTAGATTGTTATCCAGAATTCCTGCCCAAACATTAACTTTGAAAGTCCTTTGGTGATGAGTCGTTTTTTTTTTGCGTGAGGATTTTCGTCGGCCCAAATGTCCTCGTTATGATGATTTGTTATTCCATTTCTACTGAAGGTAGCCTCGTCGGTAAACAAAATATTTCTAATCAAATTAATATTTCGAGTGTTTTCCATTAACAATATCGCAAAATCCAATCCTTTTAGGATCATCTTCAACCAATAACTTTTGAACCGTTCTTAAGTGATAGGGTTTAAGCAGCTAACTATTCTAAATGATTCTAAAATGTCTTTATCAGTTGCATTCATTATTGGACGACCACTATTGCCAGCAACTTGCGGTTGGAATGTAAACGTTTCCCGTAAACTACGATCAATGGTCAGAAATAACCGTCTATGGGGTGTATTTCGATTGGTGTATTTTACTGCATAACGCCTTGCGGCTGCTACACTATTTCCTTGACATTCACCTACGATATTCATGATAGTTTATTGAAATCATAATTTAATCTGATCCAACTTACCCAAAGTTAAATGCATATCTGCCATTTCCTGAAATGTGTCATCATCATCATCACTGGCTCGACAACCCTTTTTGGGTCTTGGCCTGTTCAAGGATTCTTCTCCATTTTGACCTGTTTCGTGCTTTTCTTTTCCAGTTTTTAATTTTTAATGTTGTTATATCATTTTCTATTTGTTCTACGTATCTCAGCTTCGGTCTTCATCTTGTTCTTTTTCCTACTGGCACTTGTTTGAATATTTTGTTTGGTATTTGGCCTTCTTCCATTCTTTCCACATGTCCAATCCAACGTAGCCTTCCTATTTTAATGAATGTTATGATATCCAAATCCTGGTATATGTTGTATAGTTCAAAGTTATACCTTCTCCGCCAAATCCCGTTTTCTTTTGTGCCCTTATATATGTGTCGCAAAATTTTTCTTTCAAAGGTGGCTAATAACGTTTCCTGCTTTTTAGAGAGTGTCCAGGTTTCTGAACCGTATGTGAGTACCGGTCTTATTAAGGTTTTGTATATTTGGCATTTTGTTTTTCTGGAGACGTTATCTGATCTTAGTTGCCTAATTAAGCCATGGTAACATTTATTGGCAATAAATATTCTCCTCTTCACTTCCTCTGCAACGTTGTTATCAGACGTAACTAGGGATCCTAAGTATGTAAAGTTTTTTACCGCCTCAATGTTGTATTCTCCTATTGTTAAATTTGGCAGCTGCCTTATTTGTGCGTTTTTATTTGCAGGCATATATTTTGTTTTTGTCTGATTGATTTTAAGACCACTATTTTTTGCAGCTCGTTCTATTTGAGTGAATGCCTCTATCATTTCTCTTCTTGATGTTGCGATTATGTCAACATCATCTGCAAATGCTAGTACTTGCACGCTTTTATTAATTATTGTTCCTCGGGTATTAACTGTTGTGTCTCTTATTATTTTTTCAAGTATGATGTTGAATAATATGCATGATAGAGCGTCTCCCTGGCGTAGTCCCTTCTTCACATCTATTGTTTCCGTTAATTCGTTTTGTATCCGGATTTTACTTTCTACTTTTAGTGTTTCTTTTATCAATTCTATTAGCTGTGTTGGTATATTAAATTCTTTCATTGCTTTTGTTAGGAATTCTCGGTTTATATTGTCATATGCGCTTTCGAAGTCTACGAAGAGATGATGTGTGTCGATGTTATATTCACTTGTTTTTTCAAGGATCTGTCGCAGAACAAATATCTGGTCTATTGTTGACTTCTGTCTACAGAAGCCACATTGGTATTTGCCAACTATTTTTTCAGCGTATGGTCTAAGTCTTTCATACATTACGTTGGACATTATTTTGTATGCCGCATTCAACAGCGTGATTCCACGGTAGTTTTCACATTCTAACTGGTTTCCTTTTTTATGTAGTGGTACAATAATGCCGCTATTCCACTCCTTTGGTAGCTGTTTATTCAACCATATCTTTCTTATCAGCTCATGTATGGCTTTAGTAATGCGTCTCCTCCTTCTTTCAGTAGCTCCGATGATATTTGATCCGATCCCGGTGATTTATTGTTCTTTAATTTGTCCACTGCTGTTCTAATCTCCCTGAAATGTGTAGGCCATTGTAATATCAAAATTTTTAATATTAATCTTATTTACACAATAAATGACAGCTTCAAATTATTATTATTATTGACTATTATTGATGGAACTGTTTGTAATTATTGTATCCATAGAAACTAATTGTAATTCTATGGCCAACTAGGAAAAAACTAAGTTTTTAGAAAAAGTGATAAGAGGCAAAAAAGTTTTAAAAATAATGTGTTAAACTAATGATGCCACAAAATTCATTTGATTTGAACATACTCAAAAGTTTGGGGGGATTTAGGGCATCACACCCCCTTTAAAATTTTTCTATGCGGTTAGATTTTGTTGTTTCGTTTGTATAAAAAATGCTTTCAGAACAAGAAAGTAACGTGTCCATTTTTATTATATATATATATATATATATATATATATATATATATATATATATATATATATATATATATATATACATATATATACGTGTTTGTGTGTATGTGAAAAAAATATCCTTTTCATTCAATTCATCATCAAATTCAACTAAAAATGAGATGATGTTCTGGTTTAAGTATACTTGATCGCATAAGAAATATAAGTTATACATTAGTGAGAATTTTATAGAATTAGAAGTAATCGCGAAATAATATGCTATATATAATATAATACAATAATACTTGGAAATTTATCATACAGAAGAAATTCCAAATTCACGATTTTCGTGTATTGATTTGTTTAGGTGCCCCAAGGTTGATGCATCATCATTTTAAGAAACTACAGTATGGAATGATCTCAGCAACCTTAAGAGAAATCCCATCGAATCATTAGAATGGTTGAACTTGATCAAAATGAGCACATATAAATAAATGAATCCTTGGGTGTTAAAATATACGGGTACACATAGTTTTAACTGGTAAAACGATCATTAAAGAAACAATAAACTTGAAGCTTTTTTATTAGCACGTAAGTACATATATCTGTCCTTTCAACAAGGTGTTTTCCTTCAAAGGTGAAATCGTTTAATATTTAATTTTTGTCACAAGTAACGTCAAAACTCAAACTATAAACTAGTCGATCAAAGTTATTCAAAGTTTATTTCTGGTTTTTCAGTGTAAAAGTATTTTGGATATAAAATCTTTAGTTAATTTTTTTAATGGAATTCCTTCTTCGTTAATTCTTCGTGCGTGTGCTAGTTCTTAATGTCTCAATCTAATACGATTGAGACATTGAAAGTTATATGTAGTTACGTGTTTAATTTGTAATATCATTTTTCTTGAATTTGAAGAAAACTTGTTCAAAATTCTCGTTTCAAACCAGTCCTGATTTTCCTTGATGAATGTTCGATGGACACTCATCAAAAACAACCCAGTCAATATGTCCTTTCCCTTGTGTCGTGTTAGGTTATCTGACGTTTCTATTTCGAAACGTCAATTCTTGGCTTGTTTACTTATTCCCAACAAAAATAGTAAATTATAATCAAATTCATATTTTTTCTTTGTAGAACGTTGACATAGGATTTCAAAATCGCCGAGTATTTTGTAATCATGAACAAACCTAAGATGAAAATTGTTTAATTGATAGGTAAATTTTCCATAAATAGCGATCAATTTCGATAAAAAAATAAAGATAAATTGCCGGTACCCTAATTTGAATAATTTTCAATAGATATTTTTTGATTAATAAAAAATTTATATAAAAAATTTAATAAATTCCAGTAACAACATTAAATAAACATTTATTTAAATCATTATTTTACCTATTTTAAACATTTATTTATTTTCTGCTTCTGTGGGGGCAGCTGGCTCCCACTATTCTCATAACGAGGAAAAAACCTAAAATTTAATCGAGAAAGAGGTTTAAACAAGGAGACACTTTTAAACAGTTGTTATAGGCTATTCCACGAATATACGACTGTTTTGGTTTACTGCGACAAAGAATATTTTACTGTGCAAGTAGAAGTATGAAGGTCAATTGGTCTAATTATTATTCCAATAAAAAGGGTCTACTAGTATGACATCTAAACTAAAATTATTTCAGTTAAAATCTACAAATAAATATAATGACGTCTATGAAGCCAAAAAATGTGTTCATCAGACATTTGGGTAAGCTTTCCGTGAAATGTAAACACCAAAGAGGCGTGCCGGGTTGCTTTGATATAACACATTTTATTATAATACTTTATTAGGTATTACAACTGTAATAAAAAGAAATATAGTATTTTTAATATAAATGAAAAGAAATTGGGAGAACGATGATTCACAAACCAAAAAAGGATCTAATATTTCACTTTGTTAGTTTTAAATATTTGTTTACTTTGAGTTTATGTACTCTTAAAAGTTCCGAAAGTAACGGGTATAACATACCGGCTATTGATAGTTAAAGTGCCGAGTCGTTACGGATATTAAAAAGTAACAAAAATTTATATACAGTTTCGTATATCGCCGACTGGTTATGGCGGTGAATCTGATCGTTGATGATAGTTTTAGAAGATTAAGAGAATAAGTGAATAAGTAAGTTTTTTTGTTTTTTTAATATTAATTAAATATTCGACTAAAAAATTTACACTATTTGATCACTTAAGTATTGTTACATTTTGTTTAAATCACATAATTCAAAAACCAACTTGTTTACAATGAAATGATTGAAATGAAAAAATAAACTCCATGATAGTAAGTATATACTTCAAAATCTGAATTACAACTGTTTTAATGGGGAGAATTTACTATTGTACAATTCAGTACATTTGACCATTTAAATCGACACCTTAAAGAAAATTTAAAACAGTCGTATATTCGTGGAATGGAGTATATTCATAATATCAATGAAAGCATTGATGAGAAATAACCAGAACCAAAGGTAGTTTTAGGGTAGCTTAAAGTGCTACCATAAAAAATACAATAGAACTAGTTAATAAAATACAACATATTCAATTACCTAACAACTCCAGATTAATTTCATTTGACGTAAAAAATCTTTTTCCTAGTATCCCTCCTACAGAAACTTTTATTCTAGTAAAAAACCTTTTAGATCAAATTAGTACAAATCCAATAATTACATCTGAAATTTTACATCTTCTTGAAGTTTGCATAAACCCTACTTTGAATTTAATAATCAAATATATACAAATAACAGTGCAGGACTTATAATGGGCAATCCTCTAAGCCCATTGCTATCAGATATTTTTATGGGTCATCTAGAGACAAAGATTTCAAAACATCCCGTATTTAAACAGTTTTTATATTGGTGGAGATACGTAGAACGACGTACTGGTATGTTTCACAGGAACTAATAGGCAACTAGATCAATTTTTATCGTATATTAATTTACTTCATAGTCATATTGAATTTACAATAGAAACAGAACAAAATCAATCCATAATTTTTTTAGATTTAAAAATTATCAGGCTTAAAAAGAAACATGACTTTTCCATATTTCATAAACCTACCCATACTGACACGACTATACACAATTCATCATCCCATCCAACACAACATAAACTGGCAGCCTATCATAGTATGTTACATAGATTAAAAGAAATTCCGATGTCAAAATACAACTTTGAGACAGAATTAAATATCATCATGCAAATAGCAGTAAACAACGGTTTATAACGGAACAAACAATTAATAAAATTTGAAATCAAAAACTACACAAGAAAGCCCTGAAATTAGTATTTCCACCACCAGAGAAAAAACTCAGTACCTTCTGCTCGATTACATATACAGGTAAAATATCAACAAAAATAGCCAAACACATAAAAAGAAAGGAATAACACCAGCTTTTCGAACAAATAACAACCTAGGCAAATATATCAAAATTAGCAAGAGCCAAAATAAAAAAACACTTACACAGTGGTGTGTACAAACTTAAATGTGGCGACTGCCCAAAAGCTTACATCGGTCAAACTGATAGAAACTTTAATAAACGAATAGCAGAGCAATAATAGAAAAACATAGTCTACATACGCACTTCACCTTCTAGATCACAATCATTCTTTTAATGACGAATTTAAAATTCTTCACATTCAAAATAAAGGCCTTAAGCTATCCTTGTTAGAATCTATGGAAATCAACAAATTAAAAAACACAAATATAATTCTGAATGAACAACTAGAGACAAACAGTTCTCCCCTCCTTAACCTATTTTATTCGAAACTATAAAGTGTAAACGCATGCCAAAAATAGATCACTTGAGAAAGGCAATCAGTCGAAACAGCTGTAGTGATAAAAAGTTAAAATAAATTTTGTGGAAGTTTGAAAACGAAGTTTTCAGTGTTTTATTGTTACATAAAATGAATTTTTAACAAGTTACGGTCGAATCCATCAATTACCATAGACACTTTTACCAAAGCTTAAAATATCCTTTTTGAGTTGTTCTATTACTTCTATTAGCCAGACTTTTAAAGTTTGTAGGTTAATTTTGTTTAAATCTCTTATTAATAAATTAGTTCGCAGTTTTTTAGTGGAATTTTTAAAGCTTAATTAAAGTTTTTTTAAAGCTGAAATAATATCCTTTGAAATAATGGGATTAGTTAATCACAAGTACGAAAGCTGAGTTATACTTGGAAAAGCCTCATCGAATTGGAATTGTTTTACACAAAATTTGTTATAACTCCTACTCTAACATTCGGATTAAAGTGTACCAAACGCCATTTTGTTCATTTTTCACGCAGTATCAACCACAAGTAGTTATTGAAATATTTTATGCTTACTGAATTAGTTAATGATTACAAGTATGTGGATGTGGACATCTGTTAATGTTATATTAAATAAAATAATTGTTTTAAAAAAATTTAATTTTTTTTGTTTTAAGCATATTTTATAAAAATATTTAGATTTTTGTAAACCTGCACTTATTTTACTCTTTGTTATTTGTATATTTGCGTAATTCTATTATTATAAATATCAATACGCAGAATAAACATTTAAATAAGGTCGATTTATTATTATGTAAATAATTCTTTAATTCCTCTAAACTAAATATAAATAAATAATTTGAAAATATTATTATAAAAGACACAAATTAAAATTAGTGCTAAACATTCAACAATATTTAAACATGAAAAATATATAAACAAAGTCAATTGTTTGTATTTTAAATAACTTATTGTCTTACATTTTTTTGTTGAATGTATGTTATAAATATTTTTTAGAATATCTAAATCAGTTATTAACATGACGATTAAGAATATTTGTTGCCTTGGTGCGGGGTATGTAGGAGGCCCAACCTGCAGTGTGATAGCTTTAAAATGTAAAGATATTAAAGTTACTGTTGCTGATCTTAGCGAGGAACGAATTGCGCAGTGGAACTCCGACAAACTTCCAATTTATGAGGTAAGTGAACGACAATATACACATAAAGTTAGCTTATTTACCGAAGGGTATAAACGCAACTCACTTTACCTCCACTCCGCTCACAATCCTAAATAATAAACACATAAATCCCACACCACACTCTAACCAGTAAACACACAAAATTTCCACAAACATCCAACACATCACCTACACTGTGGGCACCGCACACACACCTTAAGAGTCGATTAAATATCACAAGGACAGGGGGAGATTGCTTTTCGGTGGTTTCTCAGTCTCATTGCACAATGATACCTGATCCTAGGTGAGGATATAGCCACAGCTATCCTCCACGCGCTTTCCAACATACAAAAAAAGGCCAACAATCTGAAAAGAATCGTTTTTTCCACGGAACTTGTACTTCGTGACAGGCTTGGTTCACTAGGCTAACTCTTCCGGAAGATCCGGGTTTTTCCACCTCTTCCCTTCTTCTTGTTCTCGGTATCCTTCCCTATCCCTCTTTCGATACACTTCTTTAGCGGCGGCGACCCTAGTCTTGGGAATCTGAGGTCGTATGAGCGAAAACTAGCATTCAAACCAAACAAGCATAAGCACCCAAACAAACAAACCCATCCTTGAAGAAGCATGGAGCTTAAACAAGGTAAAAATGCAGTTGACTGATAAACGCAAGGACGCAATCTTCCCGAAATAAAGGAGAAAAATATGACTTCAACTGATCGGATAGATATATGAATGACTTACATGAGTTATAGTCAACTATAACGGATGGTTTTTCTATGTCTGTTCGTCTTCGTGTATATTTAGCGGTTGTGTCACTATGAATAGTGCTTAGACAAAGAATATCACGTTTGTTGCCATTTTAAAACAGCCACTCCTGTATTACTTTGCTTTGCGCAAATTTCTCCTTTATTCAATTTTTGGGTCTCTACATCTTTTGGGTTGTTTTTCTACTTTTCCTTAAAGTACCGACAAGATATATTTTACGCTTTTGTAGTTCATGGGCAAATGCGACACTATTGTAGTAGTTTCTGTATATAAAATGCATCCGTGATCTAAAAGTGGCGAAATAAGTAATAAAATAGTCGGAACTGTAGCAGGCCTTTCTGAAGTATCTATAGTCATCCTTACAGCAGAGTGTATACAGTTTGATTTCAAATTTGAATCTCTTATTTTTGATATATTGCCTGAATGACAGTCTCCTCTCAAGGGTACCAGTGTTTTTTCTATGCAGACAGATTTCTCCGGAATGCAGATTTCTATTTGAATTGTAGACCTTTCTTGATATTTTACACGATACCTAATTGCTACATATATAATGGATTCTTAGACCAGTAATTCATCATGGCTACCTTGCTAGACCCATATATAATACACTTTCAAAGAATGCGGTAATTTCGTCCCTGTTAGGTCCTTTCCATCCCTTTCCATCCTTTCCAACTTTAATTTTATCAAAGTTAATTTATTCGAGCATTCAACCTTATATTAATCAGAATTGTGTTAAAATTTGGGAATGTTTCTTCTTCTTCTTCAGGTGCCATCTCCGCTACGGGGGTTGGCAATTATAGCTATTTTAATTTTTGAGGCAGTAGCTCTAAATAGTTATTATAAGCTGCATCCAAACCATTCTCTCAGGTTCTTGAGCCATGAAATTCGTCTTCTTCCGATGCTTCTTCATCCAGTGCTTGGGAATGTTGCAGTAATATTACTTCCCTGAATAAATGACTACATGGACACATCACTATATACATTAAATAATATTTTATTTACTTTTAAAAGTCTTAAATTGTAATATATTCTTCATTTTTTAATTCTTCTAGGTTTAAATCTTGTTCTTGTCCTTTTAATTCCTCTATTAAAGAGTCTCTAACATCACTTTCACGAAAAACTGTTTTGAATTTATTGTTAATAGTTTTATATCCCTCAAGATCTTTATGCGATCAGTAAAGATTCGCACACAACAACAAAAATATTAGCTTCAAAATTGCCTAGGTTGCCTAGGTCTTAGTCCGTCCCTGTGATTCACTAGAAAAGCTATGTTCGACTTGGGGGTTGGATATTTTTCGCTTCATTTGGGCGATTAGCGTATTAAATACATGTCAGTAAAAATTTTTGTTAGGCGTTGAGTACCGCCGGTGTTAAATAGTTTTATGTGTTCAGCATATGCATTGTCAGATCCAGGAGCTTTGCTATCTTTTAGTTGTGATATTGTTTTCCCACTTCATCTGGCGTGATGGGTAAGTGGTCACTACATATGTAGGATGGAGGTTCTTCGGACCTATTATCATCAAAGAGTTATTGAATGTATTTGTTCCATATCTTGCTTTTTATGTTTCCCTGTTGATCTTGCAGTTTGCTAGTTGTGTTGGATTTCTGAAGGGTAGCTGCTTTTGGCATGTACTTTCTTTGGCATTTCGTATTTCGGTTCTTATTTGTCTCTGAATATTGCTGTACATTCTATTGTTGTTCTTTGATTTTCTTCTTTCTTCCGTGAGTTGCAGTAGGTATATCGCCATTCATCCAAATTTCCTGTTCTCTTTCTTTTCTATTATATGTTCTTCTCTGGTCTTACTAAAGGTTTCATATATATATATATATATATATATATATATATATATATATATATATATATATTTTGGAGTGATTTTTATGTCTTGTCTGTTTGCTCCATGTTACTTAGATTCTCAGTAAGAATCCGTACGAGTGTCTCTCTTGTTTCCTTACTTTCTCATACTCATACTCATATCACATTTTTGGTTACTAGTTTTTTGTAGCCTTTTAAATCTAAATCTAAATTTACCATCAGTAGGAATATGATCTGACGATATGTCAGCACCGGGGTAACATCCAGCATTATATCTAATGCTTCAGTGGGGCAAATTTTTATTGGACCTCACTAAATCAGCATAACATAAATAATTATGATCCTCACAACCATTAAGTATGACCAGTATATAATTTTGATACACTTGTAGAGTCTTTCTTGCTTTCTTCTTGTATGTAGGCTTTAAAGCTTGTTTCTTCTTTAATATTAGCCTCCTAAATTGTTTAAATTGTCGCATCATCATCTTTTTCTTGGTCTGCCAATATCTCTTCGTCCATTTGATGACTTATCTTGTGCTGTACATACTATCCTATCCTATGTCATTCTATACTAATGTACTCGTTCCACTTCTGTTTCCGTTTTGTCACCCATCCATTTATATTGCATACTCTTCTTATGTTTTCGCTTCTCTTCCTATCCAACAGACTTTTCCCTGATATATGTCGGAGTATTTTCATCTCTGTTGTTTATAGTAGTCGTCTCGTTTTAGATGTGTCAGGTCTTGTCTCCGCCGTGTATGTTAATATAGGTCTAACTGCTGCTTTATAGATTATTGTTTTTGTGTCTTGTCTTTGGTGTTTGTTCTTCCAGATTGTGTCATTAAGAGATCCTGCCGCTTTAAGCTTTGTTATGATACTTCTTCATCAACATCTCTGTAACTAGTTATATCTATTCCCAGATATCTAAACCTTGCTTCCTGCTTTATTATCTTTCCATCAATTTCGATTTTACATCGTAGTGGGTATTTAGATGTTGTCATATGTCATACATTTGGTTTTTTCTGCTGATATTATCATATTGTATTTCATGGCTGTTGTATTGAAGATGTGTGTTAATCTTTGGAGTTCGTCTTCTGTCTCGGCGGTCTTCTAGCTTTAAGGATTATATTTGCGAGGTGAGTACTTCACGTAAGATTCGTATCAAACCTAATTTCGAGAATGATATCATTTATGGTCAGAGGACGAATATAAATTTCCTCTTAATTAATGGCAGTGTTTGTTATTAGGATTTACTGAAAGTCCTTTATTTATAGGTAGTTACTAGGGTTAAGTCACCTTGCATATTATCAGTAATAATGTATGCTGATCATAACAACTATGAATAGATAATTGATATTTAAAACCTATAAAACTATATTACCAGTGTTATCTAACCCATTATGTATGAGTTAACCCATTAAAAAGGGATATTAAATATGTAACATCTACCATAACTTTAATCTTTATGCCCAAGGCTAGCTCGAAACTCTTGATAATAGTATTAATTTTAATATACCTCTTTTTATTGTTTGCTTGTTTAACAAGAGGATTTTCACAGGTCCGATATCCGACGGTACGATGATACGATATAAATTTCAGCGAATTTCATTGGTTGAAAAATGACAGGTGGGATTTTCGTACGAAATTAAAAGTCATCGGAAGAAGTTAAAAATATTTTAACTTTTGCACGAAAATCGGATGAATTTTGACATTGTTGACATTTTGACTTGAACTTTAACCTTACTTTTGTGGAGTGTTTATGTTTACTATTTGAAATATAATTAAAATGGAACAAAAACCTAATTATTATATAAAAATGCAATGAATAAAGTGTTGCTTTTGTGTCTTCTAACTATGTGAGGCAAAAACGACGACAAAGTAGCTCAATATAATATATATTTTATCAAACAAAACACCTAACATTTATTGATAGTTCATTGAAATAAATATCAATCGATCCAATAATCACACATATGACATATATGTCAAAAAATTTCGGATACGAAAATCAAATATATTCGTACGAAAAAATTTCGTATTTCGTGTCATCGGATATCGGATCTGTGAAAATCCAGACAGAGTGGAACAGCCAAATGAAATAAATTCCATAATAGGTAAATGAGGGCGTGTTCAAAAAAACTCTCGGACACGTTGATTGGTATTACTTTCCAACTTTCTTATAAACACAAATATAAATACAACAAAACATAAATACAACACTCTGTATATTATGTAATTTTTAGATTCCTCAGAATATTCTAAACATATCTCATGTACAATATCCTATCTATCATCATCATCATCTTTGGCTCGACAATCCTCTGTGGATCTTGGCCTGCTCTAAGATTCGTCGCCATTCTGTTCGGTTTTTGGCAACATGTTGCCATCTTCTGATTTTTAATATTCGTAAGTCGGTTTCCACTCCATCTAACCACCTAATTCGCGGTCGGCCTTTGCTTGTTTTTCCTACAGGTGTTCCTGTGGTTAGCTTTTTAGCAATCGTATTTTCTGGCATTCGTATTATGTGTCCAGCCCATCTAAGTCGCTGTGTTTTAATGAACGTTATGATATCTGGCTCATCAAAGAGCTGATACAATTCAAAATTATATCTTCTGCGCCACTGCCCTTGATCGTTTACAGCTCCAAATATTTTGCGGAGTATTTTACGCTCAAATATTCCAAAAAGTCTTTCATCTTTCTGCGTTAGAGTCCATGTTTCTGCTCCATATGTGAGGACCGGCCTCAGAAATGTTTTATATATAATAATTTTAGTTCTTCTTTGAATGTTTCTTGAGTGGAAATGCTTTTGGAGTCCATAGTATGCCCTATTTGTAAGATTTATTCGTTTCTAATGTTTTATTGGTAGCAGTCAATAGCGACCCAAGGTATGTGAAGTTGTCAACACGTCCAAAGGTATGACTTCCAAAGACTGTTTCTCGTTCCTCATTTGCTATCGGATCCTTTGTAACAAACATGTACTTGGTTTTGTCTTCGTTGATGACTAGACCGACCTGTCTCGCCGCTGTTTCCAATTCTAGGAGATATTGCTCAACATCTCGCTTGCTACGCCCTACTATGTCAATGTCATCAGCATATGCTAGGACTTGTATCGATCTATTGTAAATAGTACCGCCATCCCTAATTCGTGTATCTCGGATTGCCTTTTCTAAGGCAATATTAAATAGGAGGCAAGCCAGAGCATCCCCTTGTCTGAGTCCATCCTTTATCTCAAAGGATCTAGAACTCTCTTCCTGTATTCTAACAGTGGCTTCTAACTTAGACATTGTCATTCTCGTTAGTCGGATAAGTTTCTCTGGTATACCAAACTCATGCATTGATTGGTATAGCACTGTTCTCTTGACACTGTCGTATGCGGCCTTGAAGTCGAAGAATAGGTGATGAGTTTCAATATTGAATTCTAATGTTTTCTCGAGAATCTGTCTTATTGAATGAATCTGGTCAATTGTTGATTTTTCTGGCGTGAATCCAGCTTGATATTATTGAAGTTGTATTGAAGATGTGTAGTTCGTCTTCTGTCTCGGCGGTCTTCTTGCTTTAAGGATTATATTTGCGAGGTGAGTACTTCACGTAAGATTCGTATCAAACCTTATTTCGAGAATGATTTCATTTATGGTCAGAGGACGAATATAAATTTCCTCTTAATTAATGGCAGTGTTTGTTATTAGGATTTACTGAAAGTCCTTTATTTATAGGTAGTTACTAGGGTTAAGTCACCTTGCATATTATCAGTAACATCTACCATAACTTTAATCTTTATGCGCAAGGCTAGCTCGAAACTCTTGATAATAGTATTAATTTTAACATACCTCTTTTTATTGTTTGTATAGTCTTAAACAGAGTGGAACAGCCAAATGAAATAAATTCCATAATAGGTAAATGAGGCGTGTTCAAAAAAACGCTCGGACACGTTGATTGGTATTACTTTCCAACTTTCTTATAAACACAAATATAAATACAACAAAACATAAATACAACACTCTGTATATTATGTAATTTTTGGATTCCTCAGAATATTCTAAACATATCTCATGTACTATCCTATCTATACATATCTTTAATTATTTCGGGAAAATTAAAAGTTTTTGTACCAATGTACCAATTTTAAGTATCTCCATTTTTTACATAAATGGATCTAAAACACTAATACTCTTTATGTTAATTTGTAGCCTGGATTAGACAACGTAGTACAGCAATGCAGAGGTACGAATTTATTCTTTACCACTAACATTACTCAGGCAATATTAGATGCTGATTTAATATTTATATCAGTGAATACACCAACAAAATTGAACGGAAATGGCAAGGTAATGGAATTAATATCACAAGTGCTTATTATTTACATTTCTTCGTAATGCTCCACAATCATTTAATATTTATTTCATTTCATGTATGGGCCAAAATAAACAGTACCATAATTTTTAAGCCTCTCCAGTACCCCACAATAAAGTACACTTTCCGATCTCCAGCCAATATGACGTATCTTCTTGTGACGATAATTTCAGGTGTAATTTTTGTTATTTTATGACAGGTCATATGACATTTAGTTATTTCGTTCTCCTTCGTTTAAGGCAATCAATGATTATGGTTGCTTTTGTCATTTTTTTATTTACTTCTTTCTAAAAATTGTTGTTACTTGATAAATAGTTTCCCCTAAAACTCCCTCGTCGGGCTAGAAGGGGGGTGAACAAAAAACATCGTTTTACTAGTAATCTGTACGCGAAATAATATTTTAAATTTAATTTTTATCAACTCGATGGTAAACATTTGATATCTTTTGATCAAAGTGCCCTATTGAGAAAAATCAAAATGCATTTCAAAGGTGAAAAGTGCAGCTTCCGTATGCAATTTTTGAATTGTGTTGCAATTTTCTATAAAGCTTTTAATTAAAATAAAAGTTTTTAATGGCGATTTTTGCCATTTTTTACGATTCTCAAGTGATCAATAAAATTTATTACTTCTTTGACCTGTCGCTGTGGAATTTCTATTGCTAGAGCCTAATATTCAAAATAAACAACCTGATAGCTATCAGATATGTATTACTTTTACATTTGGTACTGCTTATTTTGACGAATACAGTATATATCAACAGACGGTACATTGAAGAGTTCTAAAAATATATTTTTAGTGTATCGTATTAGGTACTTATAAAAATTGTTTTCAGGGAAGGGCACCTGATCTAAAATACATAGAGGGGGCAGCAAGAATCATAGCTGATACTGCTCAAACTAACAAAATAGTTGTAGAAAAAAGTACCGTTCCAGTACGAGCAGCTGAAAGTATTTCAAATATCTTAACAGCTAATAAAAAACCAAAAGTGACACATCAGATATTATCTAATCCAGAATTTCTAGCAGAAGGTATGTTATATATTGTTTTCTCTTACGTTTTTTATATTTTAACGAGTCATATTTTATTAGGTATAAATCCAATTTCTGATGGCTTGGTTCTCATGATTTGATCATCTATTTTGTATCGTTTTGTCTCTTCTGTACAGCTGTAGTAAAATTTGGTAATAAAAATATAGTTACAAACGATACTACGAATTGTACGGTGTACATGACAAAAAATAATTCACTATAATCCTAGCTCGTCTTTCTGGTTGGAGAAAACACTAAATTAACTTTTATTTAGCAATTTGTACGTTACTTATAAGTTCTTGATTTTCAGTTACACACTGTGAATTATTTTGAATATCTAAAACAATGTTTTGTAAAGCATCAATATGATTTGCTTAGAAAATTGCTGCTTTAATCCATGTTTCCCATCTTGTAATTTTTCTTTATAAAGGTGCTTTAAAAAAATACTTTTTTAACGTTTGAAATTAACTTATTGACTAAATCAAATTCACTTCTAACAATATCTGTTTGTTACTCTGTTATGCCCTATAGAAAACAAATTATGTGTTGGGATAAAACATTTTCAATTTTCTTTCTAATAAAGTCATATTATTGGTTTTCTCTAGTTGTTTTCCAGTTATTAAATAAGATTTTCTGGTTAATCCTCTTTTAATGCGCCAATTATAAGATGTTTTCAAATAACGTGTTACAATGTACAAAACTACAAATATTTCTTTTTATTCATCTTGACCTTGTTGAACATTTTGAAGAAATGTATGAATCGACTGCTGAACGGGCTTTTATGCAGTATTTTTTAGCTTCAACTTATGAGTCACAGTTTTTAAATTTTTTGGTTTTGTCCATTGTTCGTGTATTTCAAAGATGGGGCCAAAAATTTTTCGTCAAAAAATTACTGCTCCATGGCGGACAGTTAATCTCTGGAAGGGCAAATCTGAAACGTAAAATTCGAAAGGGATTTAAAAAAAAGTGCCCTTACGTGATGGTTTACAAAAAAAATTAAAAATTCTTTAAAAAATACAAAACGGCGGACATTTGTATTGCAGATTTGCTGTTCCAGAGCTTAACTGTCCGTTATGGAGCAATCATTTTTGGTGCCACATTTAAAATACAGGAACAATGGGAAAAAAAACTTTTATAATCTTAAAAAGTTGTATAATAATATAAAAAAAAACTTGATGGTAATAGTACCTTAAATATGCAATGTTGTCTGAAATGAGCAAAAATTTACAATATATACATCTACATGCACGTTCTATAATTATCACTAAATTTGACCGATTTGCTCTTAGGTACTGCGATAAATGATCTGCTCAATCCTGATAGAGTTTTGATTGGTGGGGAAAATACTGAAGCTGGTAGGGAAGCAATAGAAGCATTATGTTCGGTTTACAAAACGTGGATACCCAAAGAAAAAATTGTTACCATGAATACATGGTCATCTGAATTATCAAAACTTGTAAGTTATCATAGATTATAAAAAATAGATTACATGTACTTACTGTATATTATATTTATTAGGCTGCCAATGCTTTATTGGCACAGAGAATATCGAGTATAAATTCCTTATCTGCCATATGCGAACCAACCGGAGCGGATGTATCAGAAGTTGCTAGAGCTGTTGGGTTAGATTCAAGGATTGGTTCAAAATTCCTACAGGCTTCAATTGGTGAGAGAAATATACCTTTTTGTATTATTTTAATCGTACAATTAATTTATACATACATTAAAAAAATAATTAAATAAAGGCCATAGCTTATATTAAGATAAATTGGCACATTTATACGATAGTCCAATCGCCAGTTCTGTAGAATTAACCGTTCTCTCAGAAACAACACTTGAAGCGACCGGCGATTTTAAATGTCAGTTACCCGCGAGAAATCAATTTTAAATAAAATTTGCGTTGTTTCTGAGAGAATGGTCGATTCTACACAAAAAGTGCTCGTCAACATTTTTCTTCATACGAGTATATGAAGGCTATAAGAAGTAGGAATATAAAACAATCTATAAGAAGTATTCACTTCTGTCGACACTCCCCAAGTGCCGCCTTCTTTTTTTACATCTTTTTCGGGGCCCAAAATTAACTTTCTCGGCCAAATTCCGGCCATGTTTGTGTGGTTTTTAGCGAATAAATCTCTGACTAGACTAATAAAACAAATATCATTTCTTTTAGGTTTTGGTGGAAGCTGTTTTCAAAAAGATATCCTTAATTTAGTATATATTTGTGAATGTTTTAATCTACCAGAAGTTGCTGCTTATTGGCAACAGGTAATAGATATGAACGAATACCAAAAGCGCCGGTTTACCAAGCAAATTATACAATCTAATTTTAATACCTTGAGTGGAAAGAAAATCTGCATGCTTGGTTTTGCTTTTAAAAAAAATACCGCTGATACTAGAGAAAGCCCAGCCATTTACGTAGGCAAAACTTTGTTAGACGAAGGAGCATCACTACGAATTTATGACCCAAAGGTAATATTTCCTTTAAAAATTTAAAAATTGTTGTAATAATATGTTTATTCCAGGTCTCCAACGAACAAATTTTTAAAGAATTATGCAAACCGGAGATTTGTGTCGACCCTGAATTGTATAAGAAAAATATTTCTGCGTATGATGATCCATATGAGGCTGCGAAAGAGTGCCACGCGATCATTGTCTGTACGGAATGGGATGAATTTATCGTAAGTAATTTATTTTGGTCAGGAGGTCAATTTACGTCTAAAAGATATCAATCTATTAATATATTAATTTATAAGTCATGTATAATTACCATGCCCTGATTCAGTTGTATATGTATAAGTAGAAAAAGAAGAAAACGTATGGGATTATACCCCAGTTTTCCATTGATTACAATAAGCAACACCAAACTTTGGCAATTTTCAATAGTTATCTGATACTTTGAAATCTAAGCCGATCTATTCGGCATCTTGCTGTAATTTCTCTTTGAACAGGCGGTATATCCACGACGTATCTATCAGTAGCACATATTCAGTACACATATTCAGTAGCACCCGCCACTGAATATGTGCCTGCCGTTACTGGACGATGCGCCATTTCTAGTTTTGCTCGGGCGTCAATTTGTGACGCTTTACTTCTGCTCGGTCGCCAATTTATGACGGATAGCTATTTTAGACAGGAGACTTGTGAATCTTGGCGACGACGGTATCGATGACATATAATTAATGTCAAAATCGAAAACAAAATACGGTGTGTTAATACACTCACGTTGAAGAGAAGGAATGATGGGTTAGAGGTGGATGGATCGATAACAGCCGATCAAACAAGAAGCGGAAACGGAAGTGACTAATCAACACTTAGCCACGGAACAGGTCTGTCTCAGATTAACCCTCTAAGAGCGGTAAGGAGCTGCCACTATCTCAACACTCTAGCAGAAGCGGTTGGCCTTCAGTCATCACCCTAGGACCAGTGGATTTGTTATTAGATAAACACTCAGATAGAACTCGATTCTCTCGTGTGGCGGCCGGCTCTTGTTTTATACCGTTGTCGACCTTATATCTCCTCTTAGGAGCGGTAGGAGGAAGTGTGTGCGAGGCGTTGGCGATGCGCATCGTTACACATACATCATTCTTTTATTTCAGTTTATGTAAATTTTCCTGAAAATCTTGTGTCTTAAATTATAACATTGTTTACTTTTGTTTGATTCTTCATTCATATTTTCGTTGCTCTACAACTCTAAGTGAGTCTTGGCCGCGCTTACTAGTTTGCTCCACTCTTGCCGGTCTTGTTCAACAATCTCCCATTGTTGCATCCCAGTCTTACGTAGATCACCAGTTACTGTATCTTCCCATTTTTTTTTCTTGGATGGCCAAGTGACCTTCTACAATTGGGCCTTTTCCAGAAAGTTGTATTTAGTTGTCTTTAGATTCTATATGTTTTTGTGTCTTGTCTAAGGTGTTTGTTATTCCAGATTGTGTCATTCAGAGATCCCGTCGCTTTACTTACTTTTAAGCTTTGTTGTCTTCAACATCTCCGTAACTAGTTATATCTATTCGATTTTACATCGTAGTGGGTATTTACATGTTGTCATACATTTGGTTTTTTTCTGCTGATATTATCATATTGTATTTCTTGGCTGTTGTATTGAAGATGTGTGTTAATCTTGATTATTAATCTTAAAATTTTATTGATTTGTCGAAATGTTTTGTCTAATTCTTAGTGTTTGATTTTTAGTAACTACCATATAATCGGTCTTACCTCGTTGATTACAATTTCCCCGGTCTCACTTTCAAAAAGGGTAAAAACTGCGTGTTCTGAAGTCAAGTTGAAAAACAAAGGGGAAGGAAAGAATTTCAAACGCATCTGATATACTACTGCCAATTCTGATACATGCACATGAATCCATAATTACCTTTTACAGTCTATCCATGTTTATAGAGTCATACGGTTGTTTAAAATATAGAAAAATATGTATACATATTTATTATACTCCCTGTTGAACTCTTTTCTAAAATTTGTCGCAAGGTAAAGATCTGGTGTATTGTTGACTTTCCTGGTCGGAAGCCACATTGGCAATCATCCATTATTTCTTCTGCATGCGGAATTAATCTTCATAGTTTTCATTTCTAAGTCTGACATGACCAAACCATTAAACTCATTGTTCCTTAATCATTGTTGAGACTGTAGTCACACTGGCTCTTTCCCTAATCAAGTCATTCCTGATCCTTTCTCTTCTAGCCTTACCTAATATCCATCTTAACATTTTCATTACAGCTACCTTCATCTTCTTTTCCTGAATCTTCTTTCCAGGCTATACTTTACCGTTGTAAATCAACGCAGGTCTCACCTCACTCTTGTATATCTTTTCTTTAAGCTCTTCCTTAATTTTTCGATCACAAAGTAGCCCGCTCATTTCTTTCCAGTTAAATCAACCAGCCTGTATCCTGTGGGCAATTTCTCGATCGAGTGTCCCATTTTTCGTTATGTAGGAGCCAAGGTATTTAAATTCTCCGACTCTTCCTAGTTTTCTTCAAGCAATTCTTTGTCCCCAACCATTCTTCTATCTCCTAACCATATATACTCCGTTTTCCACCTGCTAATCTTAAGTCTTTCCTCTTCTCTCTTTGTTAACTTGTATATATTTTTATCTTCCTCTCTTTTGGACTTGTCATACCTCTTTCTTCTCTTTAACCTTCTGTTGCACTTCATCGTTCCGCCATCGGCCCTTTACCAGACGTTTTTCCTAGTACCTCCTCTCACACTCGCACCACAACTTTATTGGCTTTCCTCTTTGTTGGCTTTCCACCAGTCGTTTACGGTCAGCCAAATTCCATGCCACTGCGAAGTCAATAACACTATTTACTTCATTATTTCTTATTCTCATATTCAAACCTCCGTGAACGCTTTCTATTCCCGCTCTTTATCTACCAATATGTCCATTCAAATCACCTCCAATAAGTAACTTTTCTTCTATAGGAATCTTGGATACCTCACAATCAAGGGCACTCCAAAATTCTTCCTTTTCCTGTTCCTCGCACGCTATGTGTGGGGTATAGGTACATATGATATTCACTTTGGTATGGTCTGTATTCAGATAGCCAAGCGGACTGGGCGGCTGGCTTCTCCTTCGCTTCACTGCGAGAGATGTCAGTTCAATCCCCAGTTCGGTATACAGAAAACAAAAAGGCTAACGCAGCAGTTTAAAATTCTAAATGAATCCTTGGCTTAGTCTAGAATATGCTGATATCTGATCGGCCTATGGTGGAGCAGTACGGGCAGGAGATAAGGGCTTGCGGCTCGGTGATACTCTTCTTCCATAGATCCCTACCGGAAGGGCGTGTGCCCTTATATATATATATATATATATATATATATATATATATATATATATATATATATATATATGATCTGTATTCAGACATTAATTATTCTATCACTTCTTCTGGTGACCTTACAAGATGACAGTTCGAACTACTGTACTAACTAACTACTGTCATGCTTCCGACGTTGAGTTGCAATTCTCAAGGTGTTTACTGCCGAATGCCCTTCCTGACGCAAACCCTCCTCCTCTATCCGGGCTTGGGACCTGCACTGATAGTAATATATTTTTCTGTTAATGTTTTTGATTTATAGAGTGTAAACAAATGATTTTTATCTGTTTTAGGATTTAGACTACAAAAAAATATACTCTGATATGATGAAGCCTGCATATGTCTTCGATGGAAGGAAAATACTTGATCATCAAGAATTAATTCAGATTGGTTTTCATGTTCGAACTATTGGAAGAAGCTTTGCAGATAAATTTATTTTGAATTAAGCTGTAGACTTATAATGTCAATCATTTATTTTATTAGTAGATTTTTATCATAATCCCATTTTGTTATCCCATTCGTTCTTAAAGCTGTGTACTTAATTAGATAATTGTGATGTCACAGTTTGATTAGTATTGTAATATTGTAATTTTTGTATTTTAGAAAATAAATAAAATATGCTGCATTAGTGATGTCTCATGACTCTCTTAGTATATTTTGTGAATATACATATCGCCTAATTATGGTGGCAATAAACTATTTATAAATATGTTATTTTTTTGAAGTACTGCACACATATCAACGAAATTATAGACACCGGGAGTGTAGGAAGCAACATGAACCATATGGAAAGTTAATAAATTATGCAGATAAGTCAAACAATGTATGAATATGAAAGATTTAGAGCTGGTATTGGCCAATATAGAGATTATTATCCTTAATGGATGAAGAAGAAAATGTAGTCCGAAAATCGAAAACGAATTGTACATTCCACCCTGATGCTAAGCCGGGCACATGTACGAATTGATATGTTGAAAATCGACAAATACAAACATATATTTAAGAGTGTCTAAAGCACAAATAATACCAACTCTAAAAATCGTCAGTTAATCAATTGTTGACTGACATATCTCAGTAAAGAAGAGAAAAAATAAATTAGAAGCAAAAAGAAGAAAAACAATTAACAGTTAGGCTAATTACAGATGTGAAAGCCTGATAAGTTTATATTTAAACGAACAAACCCACTTAACGACTGGAAATGGATTATTTAGGTAGAATGCGGGATTATTGGCAATGTGAAATTTTAAATATTTTACTGCAATATTTATGCAAATAATTTGCCAAATAATAAATATAGAAAAGCCAACAGTGGATCACTTAAATGAAAATGAATGTGAACACATTTTTACTGAAAAATGTTGCATAAGCAAATGGCATTTGCATATGCAGAACACAATGAAATTAAAAACAATTTTAATAAGAATAAACAAATGGCTGGAAAAGACTGGTATCTAGGATTTATAAAACGAAATCCTCAAATTTCCTTGAGAAAGCCAGAAGCTACAAGCATTCATAGAATAACAGCCTTCAATAAAATAGAAGTAGACCGCTTTTTTAAAAATTGGGAAACAGTGCAAGAAAAATATAAATTTCTGCCAGATCGCATTTACAATGTTGATGAAACCGGTATATCTACGGTTCCTAAAGAATCATGTAAAAGACTTGGACCCAAAGGAGTAAAGCAGTTTGGAATAATTTCTTCGTGGGAACGAGGGAAGAATATCACGGTAATAATGGCGTTCAGTGCCTCCGGTAACTACATACCTCCATTATTTATATTTCCCAGGAAGAGGATGAGCCCATAGCTTCAGAAAAATGGACCAAGCGGTGCGATTTACAACTGCACGGATAATGGATGGAGTAATACGTCTATGTTTTTATTATGGCTGAAGCATTTACAAAAAAAGTCCTGTCTAGTCCAGATAATCCCGTGCTGTTAGTATTAGATAATCACTCGAGCCATATTTCACTGGATATTTATAATTACTGCAAAGAGAATGGGATTATAATGGTTAGTATTCCACCCCACACATCCCACAAATTACAACCTCTTGACGTGTTATTTTTTTCTGCATTAAAATATGCGTATGGTCGCCATTGCAATTCCTTTTTAAAATCTAAGATCAGCAACTCAGAGTTTGAAGATAAAATTACTCCATATGATGTCGCCGAGATTTTTAAGTTAGCATATGATCAGGTGGCAAATATTGATAAGGCCGTTTCTGGTTTCGGAACGTGCGGAATTTTTCCGTTAAACTCTGATAAGTTCACAGAAGATGACTTTTTTCCTGCTGATAATTTAAACAATGATAGCTTGGATAGAGATGTTTCTCTTGAACCTGCACCTCAGGGAACACCTCCACTAATAACAACACCATCTATAAGAGAACCAGAATTACCACGTCCATCAACCAGCCGACAGTCTCCTGAAAGTCGTCACACAACCCCCACAAAACAAAATGAAATAACCAAACGTCCCCTTATTTCTCTTTCACTTATTTCTCCAGTTCCTTTGCCCAATAAAAAAATTAAAAGAAAATATGGACAACAAAAGCAACATTCTGAAATTCTAACAAGCAGCCCTTTAAAAGAATTCTTAGAAGAAAAAGAGAATAAAAAAAAAGAAAAAACTGCCGAAGTCGGAAGAAGGAAAGAAAAAAGTAACCAGACAAGTATTGGTTAATGATGCAGGATTAAAACTAAATAAAAATAAAGAACAAGCCAAAGTACAAAAAATAATCAAACAAAAAATAAACAAAAAAATCTTGGAAGATAACGATACTGAAGAAAGCGATTTTGATGAAGAAGGTCTTTGCAATGACGATGAGTTGGATGACATAATCAACGAGGGAGGTGAAACTGATATCTGCATATTATGTGGAGACTTCGGCAAAAAGACGGAAACATGGTTCAGATGCACAAGTTGTGGACAATGGGTGCATAAAGAATGCAGTGGAGCCAAAAGTCCCGAAAACTACATTTTTGACTTTTGTTAATATGTTAAAAAAGCTTTGTTTACATTTTCTTACTTTCAGTATTAAAAAATAAATTTTCTTTTCATATCACTTGCGCTTTTAATATAGATACCTACATGCGCCATCTTCACCATCACTGTGTCATCTTTCCCTCGGTGGAAGGTAAGATGGCGCAAAAGCGTTTTTTAAAAAAGCCGCATAAAAAATACTTCCTTTTATTGAATTTAAAAATAATCCTAGAAATCGGTTATAGAAATACAGGCTCGTAGCATTCAAAGTTAGCTTAAATATTTTTTACCCTTAAATAAAATGTATTTTGCTTAGGTGCGTCATCTTCGACGTCCTTCCCCTAGATATTTTAGAATTCTTTAAGATGTTTTCCATTAACTAAAACTAATAGCACTGGAGAAGGCCTGTGCAATTTTCTATTAGAGCAACTATTACCTAGTCTGCAGTTCGAAATTAAAGATATAAGAAAAATATAGAGCTTCAGAGACAAATTCTTTATATCAATCCTAGGACATTGTCCGTGACGTGTGTGGCTCATAAATTAAATTTCGTCGTTAATGACGCTGCCAGGTCTACTGGTGAAATTTCTGGTTTTCTTAATATGGTCCCCATATCGATGGATTTACGTGAAAAGTCTAATTTTAAAACGGTTAAGTGGAACAAAGTGGGAAAGTCGTATCAATGCTATTAGACACCCAAAACAAGACCTAAAGAACATTATTAATGCTTTAATTAAAGACCACACCAGAAACAGGAAAACAAAAATGGGTGCTAAATAAATAATTAAAAGTCTAGAAACATTTAAATTTGTGTGTTATGTTGTAATTTGGCAAGGTTTATTATCGTCAAGAATGTATCATTAAGTTAAGTGCTTTAAATTCTAAATTATATAGCGCGGAATGCATTCAAGGCTTAGATAATCTTAAAAAATATTTGGAATTTCAAAAATCTAACGATAATTTTAAAATATTTGCCGAATCAACAACCATATTTTGTCAGTGAAAACACCTGCGTAATTTTGCATAACGATCAGAAAGTTAAAATATCATTTTTTCATGCATTTGACATGAAACAGTTTTCCAATAGGCTACACAAAGTTTCTTTTTCTATTTTCGGATATCCACCACCACCATTATGCAGCTATTTGGTAAATCTCAAAATGGCTCTGGTCCTATAAAAGGAGTATCAGCTCAGTAAAAGCAACTAGTTAGGATAAGTTGCAGTGTAAAGTTGATAAGTAGGGGAGTGGTAGGAACACTGAGACGAAAAAATTTCAATGCCAATAACTTTTTTATTAAATGCTACTTTAAACTTATATTGTACAATGATATTTGGTATATAAATAAGAAGTGAAAAATCATGTCGTTTTCTCATAAAAATTAATGTTAAAACCTCAAAAATATAAAAATTAAAAATTAGTAAATGTCTCACTGTTCCTTTCAATGTGGGAACACTGAGACGTAACAATTAACATTATTTGACGTTAAGACTATCAAAGTTTAATTCAAATTTTAAAAGCGAACTTTGGCGCTTGGTTAACCCTTGCATTAAAGGGGGCGGCAAAATCATTTTAATGTCTCTTTTTAATACATGTGAGACATCTGGGACAACTGGAAAGAAGAACCTATTTTCACATTTAGCGCTTTTTCGCAAAAACGATATTTTAAAATCATTTTCTTTTATTTGAGACAAGACTTTGTCTACATAATATGTCTTTTGCTTCGAGTTGAATTCAACGAGCACATAATTCCCATCATTTGGACAGCGATCAAGATCTTCGAAAATAATTGGTTCTGGATCTTCACCAATAAAATCCTCCCCTCCGCTGAAATCTTGTAGTTCCATCTCATTTTTGTCTTGCTCGTCAGAATCACTATCTAATACGCGCCGTGCTACTTTTTTCTGTTTTGCTGTTTTTTCTTTAGATTTAATCAGCTCCATTTTTGCCGGGGTATCCGTAGCTATCATCGTCCTTCCTTTGCGTCTTTTGTTGCCCTCTACAGATTTTCTTGTCGGAGCTTTAGGATTACCCTTAAAAACTGTTGGACTAACAAAGGTTTTAGTAGTAGTAGCAGTATGACTTGGACCTGGATTTTCTACATCTGGAGATTCACTTATCTTTTCAGCAGCAGCTTCAACTGCAACAAGCGGCCTATCTGTCACAAAACTTGACAAAAAATCTTCTTCAGCGAAGACATGCCGATCGAATGGAAATATTCCAGATTTTCGAAAAGCGCTTGCGATGTTAACTGGCGTCATTGCTCGTGGATATGCTGTGCCCACACAGGCTGCTACGTTGTAAATTGTAAATGTCTGACCGAGATGGTTCATCATCCATGCATCTACTGCAGCATTGTAGAAAGTCTGAAATGGCTTAAATAAACCTACGTCCAACGGCTGTAATCTGTTCGTGCAGTGTGGCGGTATAGTCAGGATTGTAACGCCATTATTTTTACATAAATCGATTGCCTCAATCGATAAATGACTTTGATGATTATCCATTAGCAATAAAGAAGGGTTTTCTCTAGTACTACCAGTGTGCTTAATAAAATGCCTAACAACTTGCACAAAGCACTCTGTATTCATCCAACCTGTTTTTGAAGCTAGTCCTAAAGTTCCAGGAGGCGACCCATTTATCATAAAATCTTTAAAGTGTACTCTTGGGAATACCAAAACAGGAGGAATAGTTACTCCAGATGCTCCAACAATACAGCATGTTGTAACGAGTGTTCCACGTTCGCCACTTGTGGCTTTACTAACCTGTCGTATATCTTTTTCTGCAAACACTTTTTGGGACTTTTGAACGGTAACGGTTCCTGTCTCATCTAAATTAAAGATGCGACTACCATCTCCAAACATAGGGAAACGCTGTAAAACGGTTTCAAGTTTACTGAAAAACATTTCAACATTAAATTTATTGAAACCGGTTGCCCTTGCAAGACTACAACCTTCTGGGGTCCGGAAGGATAAATTATTGGAATGACGTTTCTGAAATCCTTTCATCTAGGCAAGTGAAGCGATTTTTGAAGTATGCCAGTTTGCTGGAACCACTATGTTATTGTAGACTACGGCTTCATATGACAGTTTTCGGGTATCTTCTCTTGATAGGCCATCAAACATTTTAGAACATTTAAGCATATATTCGCACAAGTCGTTCTCCTGTTCGATAGGGAAAATTTGTTTTACTTTGTAATTAGGACATAAACGGACGTTCTCACCTTGTTGATATTTTTTAACATACCTGTGGACTGTTTGGAAAGATACTCCTTTTATTCGTGCTGCTTGCCGTATAGAAGTGCCACCTTGTACTAATTCAACAGCCTGTCTCATCAGATCTTCAGAAAATCTTCCTATTTTCCGATCAGCTTTAATTTTTCTTGGCATCTTCGTTCTGTAAGAGAAATTATTTTGCAAATGACCTGGCTTATACAACTATAACGGAACAGTGAGACAGTAAAGGAACAGTGAGACGCGTCTCACTGTTCCATCTGCTGTGTTGTCTCACTGTTCCTTAAAAAATCGTTAATAAAAATATATGAAAAAAACTAATAAAAATGTACAAAAATCGTTTGTTTTAATTTAATTGTTTCGCAAAATGGTTTACTTTGTAGTTAGAATAACCTACCTTGTCTAAGAAACTTCAATTTTCGTGAAAACAGCGGCCACGTGGATACGGTATATTTACTACGATGCACTCACTTCAAATGACCAGCGATAACTAAAACATTTCTTGTTGAATCTCAACGGTTTCTTGTTTGCTTCACTTTAAGGTGGTAATAGGCATGTTCGTTTAGTTCTACCTTATAATACCAAACGTGGTAAGCTCTACCGCGTTTGTCTCAGTGTTCCGACCGTCTCACTGTACCTACCTCTCCCCTACATCTTTCCTAGTTACAGTGATAAATGTATTTCTTCCCTTTGTTAATAATGCCCATGTTATTTCGTCTTCTTCAGATTTAAGTGCCTTGCCCTTTAAGAACATTGGCAATCAGTTGCACGTTTTTGTCCGCGTGGACCTAACCTGATGCTGATCCGTTGATCCGTACCACCGAACTACCCGTTGTTCGGTGCCCGTACCACTGGCGGAGATTTTTGAGGCAAGATGTTCTTTATCGTCCAGGACCACATTTCCCTTCCATTTTCCCTTCTATTAATTACATGTATAATTGCATGTATAATAATTATATGTATATTTATAGTAGTTTATATTTCGGAGTCCTCATCACCTGAGCAAAATGTTTAGAACCCCTCTTTTTTTATTTAGACATTGTAAAACTGTTACTCTTACGAACTTTTTAAAGAAACAACGTGTAACAGTCCTAGCTCCGAAAGGCCTAAATATATTACCCAGAAAGGGATTTTAGTTGCAATCATTTCTTTCGATTTTTGCAGCAACCAATAATTTGCTTGAGTCCTAGGCAACCCAAATTACACAATTATGGCACATATTATACCTTCTGTGGTGAGTTGTAACCACGACCACAGAATATAAATTAATAATTTGAATTTTCTGCCACGATTTCAGTTGCTGTCACTTACTGTATAAAACTTGCATTTATCTTCGTCTTACATATGTAACTCTAAAGTGCATCGATCCTTTTTTTTACACTAACTTATATTTTGTAAACGTTTTATAAATATAACCAACTGGTCCATCTACTTTCACAAATTTCACATGTACGTGGCCGTGTGTTATTTAACCTGTGTAGTATTTTACATCAAATTTAACAGTCTAAATTAAACTTAAAAGAGGAAACACATAAGAGGAACACACAATGTCGAAAGTTACCTTAATTACATTTTTCACCGTAATTTCAGCTAGCTTATGCTTGGGCTGCTCAAATCCAGAAGTTAATTCAAAATCATTCACTACTTTAGATGCCACAATAGTAACAAATATCGCATTTATTTCGGAATTTTCAATTAAATGTGGATCAGGAAAACTTGGGAACTTATATGCTGCCTTGAACGGTCACATTAGTCCGGTGTCTCTAGTTGGAAACGATAAATTCCAGGTAAGTTCTGTTTCACTTTCAATTCAATATTTAAAGAAAATTAGTAGTCTACATTAAGATAACTACAGAATTAGGATATGTAGGTTGTATATTAAAGGTTCATTTGGATTAGTTTCAAACTTGATCACTTACCATATTGTTATGTTCATTCATATTATCATGTGTAGTATAATAATCAAATCCAGTTTTGATCTCTAAAGTCATGGACCTATATAATATTTGTGGTTGTGATATTTCTACCAGTAGTTTAGAAAAACATAACCTGGACTTTATTAAAATTTGATAGAATTTGAAGACATATGGAATATTGAATCATTGGGTGTAGTAGTTACATCCCGTTTAAGCTGAGTTTTTCATATACATTTGTGAATAAAGAAACATCATGAATAATCCCATCTACTGATCTAGATGTGTGGTTTATAATCCCCAAAAACAATGTCCTATTAGATAATTTTCCTGTTACTACTTTTTCTGGGTTCTACTCTTGTATAATGTGTCCAATCTTTGTTTGCATGTACATATATGACATTATTACAAAGACAGCAATATGATGGATGGTGATTAATACTGGAATTTCTAGTTTTGACACTGTCAAAATGACAATGTCTTTGTTAACTAGTTTTTGTATTGTTTAAATTGTATTATTGCTTAAACTCCTTGCCCCCTTAAAGTTATATTTTTTCTAAAGGCGAAATTAATATTCTAACCCCTTATTCATATAGATTGAAATACAGCCTTATCTCCCTTACCTTCCCTGTCTGCATTAGGCCTAAGAAATAACATACTACACAACTATAGTTTCCTAAAGTGTACTACTGACAGAATGGGAGACTGCTATTTAATTTCTGAATAGCCTTTTCTCTTCAACTAACTGGAATGGCTTGACAGGACAATTATTTATCACTTTTTGACTGTGGATACTCCTAGAGGATTTCTATAATGTACACTGTTTGTGCTGTTTAATGATTTTACAAATTTTAAGGTTTATGTCTTTTGGAAAAATGTCCATTTGTATAGATGTTGAGCTTTTAAGTTTTATTTTAAGGTAGATGATGTATATTCCCTGCAGATATTCTCTGTAATTTGTTTCACTTTTATAGTGTGTGATTAATCAACAAACAGATTTATTGATACAGGTTTTGTTGTAACATGAATGATGGTAATCTATTTATAAAAGACTAATGTAGTCAACAATAGGTTAATGTAACTTATGCACCATCTAATACTTTGGATATCTAAGATACACATTATATATTGATTAAAACAAATAATGTACCTAATGATTAATGTTTTTTATTAGGTAAGTTGGACTGAAGACATAAAAAGTGCCAAATCAGGTGACCGTGTAGTCAAATTGTATGATGAGGATGGTTACGTTGCCTATAGGAAGGCTAGCCGTGCCAATGAGGATGTGTCATCTGTACCTTCCTTTGCAGATGTTGTTGTTACCCACTCAGGAGCTTATAATGGACCATGGTTAAAATCAGAATTTATTGCCACTTTCTTATCATTGATTGTTGCTTATGTAGCGCTGGCTTCAAGGGCAAAAGTTTCTAATTGAAGATGCAATGTTCAAATTGTTAATTATTTTGTTTAATTTATGTAAACACTATTGTGATATAAATGCAATTTGTATATCAGGCTGAAATTTTCTAATAAAAAGAAATGCCCATTTGTATTTTGAAAATCGTTATACCCTAGGATATAATTTATTTTTTAACATAAGAATTCTTGTTAAAATTTATTAAATAACATTTCTTTATGGAGCTATATTCTTGTAAAGATAAGTTAACATGCAAAGGATTTCCTTTTTTACTCTGTTGTTCTTGAATTTTTACTTAACATACCAGTTGCAGGTTTTTGTATTGTAGATATTTGCATGATCTATATATTATTATCAATAAATAATTGTTTTTGTCAGCGTTGTCTCTAGAACAACACTTTGTTGTAATGTGTATAGTTTTCAATATTCTACAGTGTAACCACATCTCAAATACTTCTATATGTTTAAATTTTAGAAGTGTTTTGTATTTCTAACTGTATGTTATAGGTAATATTTAATTATACATAAGATTTTATCATCCTAAATAGTAGTTAGTTAAACAGATTTCTATTGCTGTAAATGATATTCTTATGAAGGCTGTATTCTATATAACTGTAGATATGTGCTGTAATTTTATTGGTTTCAACATCATTATCAAAGTACATCCCTGATACACCTCTTTTGAGATTTGGATATTTCCATTCTTATGATCCCTTTTCTTACATAGATCTTTCTTATGCAGTTGTTTTCTTTTTAGACCAAGCAGTATTTGTTTTGGATTGAGTAAATTGTATATGATCCTATTTTTTTGCTTTAATCACTTCAAAATATTATTAGAAATGATAATTTCACTATGTGGATGCAGACACTTCAAAAGTAGTCCAGTCGTCAGAGATCTGACAATTAAATATCATATGAACAAGCTGAATTTTGTATAGAATATCAATTTTTGGGATCCTAAAAAAGATGTGGAAAATGTTTACCACTTTTACACCTGGGCTTTCTCCTAAACTCCCCTGTAGAGTGGTAAAAACTCAAAAAAACAGATTTACCAAGAACCTGTATGCTGTAGAAAAACATGTGTCAAATAAAAAATGTAGCTAAGATGATTTTGAACAAAAATGTTTATTAGCACTTTTTCTGTAGAATTAACCATTCTCTCAGAAACAATGCTTGAAGTGACCGGCAATTTTGAACGTAGTTGCGCGCGAAATCAATGTTTGATATCTTTTGGTCAGAGTGTCCTATCAACTAAAAACAAAACACGTTTTAAGAGTGCAGCTGTCTTGTGCAATTTTTGTGTTTTGTTGCAAATTAAGTCAGTTTCTATAAATATGATAAATCAATAAATCTTGCGCGATTTTTGCCATTTTTTACAATTTTCATGATATCAATAAAATTTATCACTTTAATTGACAGGTCATAGTAAAATTTCGATTTTTAGAGACCAATCTTCAAAACCTGTAACCTGAAATTTGAGTAGTAGCAACACATATGAAGCATTAGAAATATGACTAAAAACGCAGAATTTAATCTTTTACATTACAACAAGAAGATGGTTTTGATTTTAATTTGTAGCAGAAGATGGGTAGTTTTGAAATATGTACTAGTGTAATTGTAAAATGAACCACGAGCTGGCTTGGTCACCTCGAAAGAATGCCATATAATCGAGCTGTAAAAGTAGTCCAGAGATGGAAGCCCAAAGGAAACAGAACAAGAGGAAGGCCCCGAAGATGGATAGACGATGTAGAGAGGGATCTTAAAACCATGAACATCAGGCAGTGGCGAAGGAAAGTATCTGACAGGGCAGAATGGAAGAACATTGTTAAGCAGGCCAAGAGTCACAAAGGATTGTAGAAGAAGAAGACTAGTGTAATTGAAAAAAAAAAGTTTTAAATGTTTCAGATTGTTTGTAATGTGAAAGTTTAAATTCAGCGTTTTTAAGTATATTTCCAATGTCTCAAATTTATTGGCAAAACTCAAAACTAACATTTCATGTTATAGGTTTTAAAGATTAGGCTCTAGTTATTGAAACTCCACAGTGGCTGGAGGAATACATTGTATTGATCTCATGAGAATCATGAGATCAATAAAATTTACGACAAATAATTTGCTGCCAAATACAAAAATTGCGTACAAAAGCTGCGCTCCTTACCTTTAAAACGCATCTTGACTTTTGTCGATAGGACACTCGGATCACAAGATATCGCATTTTTACCGTCGAGTTAATACAAATTTTATTGAACATTGATTTCGCACGCGTAACTGACATTAAATTGCCGATCGCTTCAAGCGTTGTTTTTGAGAGAACGGTTCATTCTTTACAAAAAATGCTAATAACCATTATTGTTCAAAATTACCTTTACATTTGCTATATTTTTTATTTGAAATATATTTTTCTATGATATAAAGATTCTGGGTAAATCGATTTTTTTCCGTTTTCTCCCCTCTACGATGGGGTTTTAGGAGAAAGCCCGAGGGTAAAAGTGGTAAACTTTTTGGCGTCCTAAAAATGACATTCTCGGCAAAATTCAGCTTGTTCGTATGATTTTTAGGGAATTTGTAAATACAAAAAAGAAGATAAAATTGATTTCAAATTGAAAAAATAGTTATTGCAAAATTAGCAAAAACAAAAAGTGGTCAAAATTCAATATTTTATCAATTTTTTTCAGGTATTTTAAAGCAATATAAACCTTCATAATTTACCCAGGAAATCTTTTTAGAATAAAAAACACTACACAAAATTTCAGTACAATCCATTAAATACTATTCGCAAAATAATTGTATATCAATGTTAATTGAAAAAGTTACTCTATTTGTTTATTAGCTTAAGAATTGTACAGTTCTTTAAAAACTTTCCTAGGCTCTTCTATTCAACGGATTTAAATTATTCGAATTTTATTCAATAGCCTGAACGCTCTTTTATATTCAAAAAATATCCAAAATTTCAATTATACAAAACTTTTTTTGTTAGTGGTTTGAAGGTTTTAGTGGCTTTTAAAGGAACTGGAAAAGATTATTGAAGAAACATTCATTTTTGACAATTTTTTAATGATTTCTGCTAAGTTTGCAATAATAATAAATATGTCTTTATTTGCATCTTATAGGAAATTGGATTGTAAAACTTTTTTGTCTTTACAAAATTTTTCTAAAATGCGTAGCTGCAGAGAAAAAGAAAAAAAATTGAATTTTTTCCAGAAATTGTTAAATAAAAAATTTTAGCCCACCTTTTGAAGTGTCCGCATAGTGAAATTATCATTATTTCTAATAATATTTGGAAGCGATTAAAGCAAACCTCCAAAAAACAAAGGCAGATGAAAACCTCCTGCTTATATTTGAACGAAGGATCTTGAGAAGAATATTCAGTAGCATCTGTGAAAATGGTTTTTGGAGAAGGAGGTACAACTATGAGATATATCACAGAAATAAATGTATATTTGGTGGTAAAGACGTAGTATCTCTTATAAAAATAGGAAGACTAAGATGGGCAGGACATCTGGCAAGATCACAGCAGAACAACCCTCCTAGAAGAATCCTTATGTCACAAACTGTGGGAAGTAGAAGTAGGGGTAGGCCAAAACTCAGATGGAGGGATGGTGTTGATGAGGATGGTAGAAAAATAGGCGAAGCAAACTTGCAACAGTTGGCAATGGATAGAACTGACTGCGTAATAGACTTGGGAAGGTCGAGGCTCATTTATAGGGCTGTAGCACTAATGATGATAATGATGATTAAAGCAAACAAACAGGATCATATGAGTGGCTCAGAGGTAAAGTTGACCAAGCCACAAAGTGGAGTTTTTGCGATAAATCATGTCAAAGTTAATTTTAAATAAAAAATACAATTTTTATGTTAAAAAAATGTAACACTTAATTTTTTTTAAGGAAAAGCTAGTGTCTTAAAACAACATGTAGAGAAAAATCTCACCGAAGTTTTATTACTCTAATTCGGTGTTCAAAGAGGGCACATTTGTCTTTACAAAAGATATATTCATAGAAGAACTTTTGTGTTAAGCTATGTTTAGGCACATTTGCCATAAAGAAAACTAAAACAAGTAAATTGTCCAGAACAAAAATTAATATAAACAGAAAACAAATCTCCAATTTATTAGCTAAAAACTTATTCTAGTGCGTATTTTTAATTTTCATATGTAATTGCTTTTTCTAAGCCCTCATCGGAACTATCTTTCAAGCCAGAATAAAAGCTGTGGAACTTGAGCGGTAAGTCCATTAAATCCTTTTTCTTTTCTTTTGTTATTGCTCTTTCATTTGGATACTGAACATTTAGGTTGTGCGTTACAGTAGATGATGATGGGCGGCTTTGGTGTATTTGCTTAAAACAACCTCATGAAACACACCCATGTTATGTGCTGTATATTTTACATAATTTTTTTGATTCGTTTTTAAGATATCTAATCTGTTGAATTTTAAGCCATTCAACTTTTTCGCCAGTTATAGTAACACTACTATTTGTTATCTTATTCTCAAGGGACTTGCTTTCTAAAAAAACTCTAGTGAGTTCATTCTTTTGACCTGGAATTTTGGATTTCGTTCTTTGGCGGATTGAATTATGGAAACTCAATCATCGGGATCAAAAATTCGATCTTGGTGTTTTCTCTTCTTTTCAATCCAACCAAAATCCTTATGGCATGTATTAAAACTATGTCTAGATTCATAAAATCTTTGTTTTGAGTGACAATTTACACTTTTGAAGGTAATTGCTTAACATTAAAGCCACCTTTATATTCCGATTCTGGCCCCCACAAGCATCGCTGTATAAAATCAGATATTCGGTTGGGTCAGGTAAGTGCGTCTCAAGGGTTTATTAAGCATGAAGCTATCTTTTGAGCTCCTCGGGATGCGACATTTTCAGGCCAGACTTAGTGAGAGCGCCCACCAAAGTGGCGTGGCAAGTAGCACGCGTCTAGCATGTTTCTTAAAATGTAACCAATGAAAACAAATGATTAGAATGAATGACGTCACTGTCATTTTGGTGTACGCTGAATCATTCGTTTTCATTGGTTACATTTTAAGAAACATGCTAGACGCGTGCTACTTGCCACGCCACTTTGGTGGGCGCTCGCCCTTACATGTGTCCTGTTGCCGTGACTTCATCATGGATGCCCAAATTATATGTCCACAGTTGTCTCTTATAATAAACTACATCTGTACTTAACTCAGGAGTAGGAAGCGGTTTCTGAAGATCAAAAACTAAAACTGATATTTTTGCTTTAATTATATTTTGCTTTTTGTTTTCTTTAACTGCTTCTGCTTTTCTTTGTTGTAATTCGAATTCAACTTTTGCATCCTGTTTACGCTGTTCTGAAGTATCAGATGATTTTATTTCATCATTTCATGATGTTGTGGTGCATGAAAATGCACCACAACTTGGTGTTAAAAATTTTGCGAAACAACAGCGAGAGGGGTTTTCTTAAGTCTAATATGCATTTTTTTTCACTCTCGATACATGATCGACATGTTAAAAGTTGGTGAAAGATATTTCCTTTTTATGTTATCTTATCGGGAGTAATGGAATTCGTATGCTGGGAATAGTTCAATGAAGCAAATACTGCTCCTCTTCAATGTTGCTTTTATTAAGGGGTGGATGTTTGCCCCTTGCGTCTTGAACAGGTGTCCTATGTTCTTGTTTTCGTGCTAAAGCTAATGAAATTTTTATGTAATGGAAACTTTCTTTAAAAACATTTTTACATACCACTTCGTCACAACCATTTTAATCCGGTAAAGTATATACACGAGTTTTAGACCTACGTGAATTTTGATTTTGGGTGTAAGTTCTCTTTTTGTTTTCTACTTTTATTTGATCTTGAATAAAAGCATTTTTCATTGACCAGTTAGCGAATAGTAATTTTTAAAGATGCTTTGCTTTTTCGTTCATTAAAAAATTTCATATGACACTTCATTTTGTACGAACATGGTCCAACTACGAGTTCTTTAGCATTTTTACGTTTTCCTTCTTCCGTGACATATTTTGTCCCTGGCTATCTTCTCTTAATACCTTTCATGATTCTCAAGATTTCTTACTTTGTTTCTGGAATGTTGGTGCGATTAGCCTTCTGGTTCATTATTGTCTTGATTCTTAGTGTTCGAAAACCCATTTATTGAGCTTTTTTCAATCGAATCATCAATATTCTCGTATAGAACAATACAAAATATATTACCAATAAGTTTGCGGCTAAACAGCCTAAGCCACATTTGTTTGTAAATGGGTTTTTATGGATTATCTTGCTTGTTTTGTATTTAAATATTAATATTGTTTCTGTCTTACCTGAAGACTCGATATTTGAAGAACTGGGATTATAATCTATATCGCTGAAATCGGATCCGAAAAGCTCCGATGCGTCCCTGCTGATGTTTACATCCGCCATGTTTTTGTTGGTTAGGCAGTTTTGCTGCAATCTTCCTATGACATTTTGTTAGTATGAAAACCAGTTTATAGATGGAAAAACCATACCAACAAAAAATCTGATTCTGCACACGATTTTTACAGAAATTATAAGTACTTGTTAAGCCTAATCCAGTAAAAGAAATTTTTGGAGTTAGGCACCTTTGCCTCTGAGCGACTCATATATGATGCCCAAATATCCAAATGAGGGTGTTTTAGAACAGATACCGCCTGGTCTATTTTAAGAAAAGTTAGAATAAATTTTGTAGTCAATAGAATATATGTATCTTTATTTTATCTTATAATATATGTAGCTTGGTTAACATTTACAAGTAAAGCTAATATACTAGCACATTCCAGTAATTAACAATACAAATTTTAAATTCAATGAACTAGATATATATAAATTATAAATAACAATTATTACAGCATCTTATATAAATTTGCTGTGTAACGTGGATTTCCATTTTTCTTTTTAAAATATCTCTTTGTAACTTTTCCAGTCAGCCCATTATCACATTGCCATCTTATATACTGATAAAATTTCATGAAATCTTTCATTTTTAGTTCAATACAGTCATAATTGTTAAATATTCTTCTTGAACAGTCCATTTGATCATCTTTAGGTAATCTAGGGGCATATTGATGAACTCTACGGAGGATTATAACAGCTCTTCTTTGTATTGTGTCCTCTGGCCTAACACAGTGAGTTATTTCATTTGCTGCAAACCCACTACAAACAATCCAAAAATAATTTATTAGAATCTTAGGATAATTGTTATTTCTAGACATTTAATAATAGTGCAATATAAGCAGTCATTTTTCAGGCATGTGAATTCGAAATTAACTGAATTACCTTTTTAATTTATTCATAATATTTCATATTTATTAGTTTATTTCCGTTGTCAATATATAATAAGATATTACAAGAATATTACAAAATGCTTTAATGCTATTTTGAAAATTTAATCTTCAGATAGTCATATGTAACTTCAATGGGGATTCGCATAGTCTGTTTAGAATCAACACTTTTATATCAAGTTTATAAAAATGAATAAAAGTATAAAAAAATAACGAAATTATAGAACAAAGGAAAATTTAGTCTCTACTTCAAGTGTAAGTTCAAAAGAAATGTAAAACTAATTAAAATGCCTAATTTATTACTAAGTATACAATTAAGTTTAAATGCAACATTTTCTGTGATCGATAATTACCTAATGGAAGTGATGACTCCTCTGGGCATTGCTAATTCAAATAATGGTTTGGAGCATCTTAGAGGCTTGTATTTAAACTTACATCCAAAGCAAAGGCAGCTATCACTAAAAAGGCTCAGGGACACTATTGGTCTGTCGAAAATATGAGGGGGATCGATATGTGACACTATGCAACCACCTGGTCGGTAATCGTTGATAACTACACTGTTAACGAAGTTTTTTGGAAGAATTTTTGCTTCAATGAGGGGATTAATAATATTCACTGTAATCCAACTTGGTATTGGATCTACGGAATTCCTTGGGAACAATTTTTCTCTGCCTATGCCACTTTGTGAATTCTGGGAGCCATAGGTGTATCTTTCACCAAAAAAATACCTTAAAAACATGAACATAATTTTTTAAATACAAGCTGTAGAGTGTCAATGTTGAACTCACTTATTTCTTAAAGGTGTTACATCGACTGTAGGTATTTTTAACATTCCATTCCTAGCTTTCTTCACAACGTCGTTTACATATGCCTCAAATGTCTTGATTTTATCAGCTGAAAACACAAAATATTGGCGAATACTGTTCTGTAGCTTTTGAATTTGCAAATCTTCCTTTTGAATATTATAAAATAACTCAGTTTGTCTGAAATATAAAATACATTAAAATTTACAAACAAATTTGCAGACAAAAACTTACTGTTCCATAGAATTGTTCATCTTGTGTGGTATGTATATTTGAAAATATAGTAATTATTAGTAGTTTTTTGTTATAAAAAAAAACAACAATAAAATAAATATTCTAATTTCGAATATTTATATGATACTAATTAGATAACATTTATAACTTTCCAGTATTATTAGTTGCCAACATTCAGTGTAAGATATTAAGTTTACCCAGCCATTTATATTAAATTTAATAAAATTATTTTGCTGTCTTTGTCGAAGAATGAAAACTAATAGAAAAAGGCTTTCAAGGGAACAAGAATTTCATTTACTAATGGTGGAGTAAACGAAAGCTATGACACAGTAATCAGCAATGGGAAGGTCTAGAGAAAACTAATTTAAACATGCAAAGAACTGTTCAGAAACTGTACTCTGTTTTTTATCTCCAGTATTATTCAGTATATACATTCATAAAACGCTGAATTGTAAAAGAATGGGACTTCCGATAGGCGATCTACACATTACATTACGCTTCTTCTTGTAGTGCCTATCCGTTTCGATGTAGGCGACCATCATGGCAATCTGTACTTTATACACTACTGCTTTGAAACGATTTGTTGTTTTCTTGTTAAACCACGTCCGAAGATTTTTCAGTCAGGAAATTCTTCTCATCCCTGGTCCACGTTTTCCTTCTTTTCTCTCTAAAATTAGTTGCAGTAGCCCAAATCTTTCACTGTTAGTCATGATGTGACCGAGATATTCGATTTTGACTGTTTTTATTGTGGTTAACAGTTCTTTTTCTTTTTGTATTCTTAATAAAACGTTCTGATTAGTAACGTGGTCAGTATATATTCAGTATTTGACTATAAAACCACATTTCGAAAGCCTCCATTTTCTTGCAGGTAGTGTCTGTGAGAGTTCACGACGCAACTCCGTACAACAGTATAGGAAAGATATAACATCGCAGTAACCATCTTTTTATGGGTATTCATAAATCATGACATTTGAGTATCTTAGCTATTTTTTTAAATGTAGATACCAATCAGACGCAAAATAGAAATTGATGGCTTCAGTATTGAACAAATAATGGAAATAAAATACCTGCGAATTACACTGTCTAGCTATGGAGACCTGGACAAAGAAGTCAGAGATCAAGTACAAAAAGCAAATAGACTGACAGGAAGCCTTAATGACACTATATGACGAAACAGAAACATTAACACTGAGATGAAGTCAAGACTTTATAAACCTGTGTAAGACCAATAATGACATACGCCTCAGAAACAGACCCGATACAGCTACAACATAAGAGATACTGGAAACTGCAGAGATGAGAGTACTGAGAAGAATTACAGGAAATGCGCTGAGAGAAGTGAAGACATTAGAAGAAAATATAACATACAGTGTATAAACGAATTGACACAAAATACAAAAAAAGAATGGAGTAACTAGATAAGCAGAATGGAGGAGACCTGTGTCGTTAAAATAGCAAGAGATAAGTCACCAATCGGCAGAAGATGTATCGGACAACCGCGCAAAAGATGGACAACCTTCCATAGAGGTATTAATCCGCCAATGAATAAGTAGAATTGCTTATAAAGAGGAAGAAGAAAGTAATTTATCTGGAAAATCCTACAACAGACTAAATTATGGTTCCTCCACACCCCCTTTACAGTTTCTCAAGCACTTTCAAAATAAAAAAAAAAAAAAGACAAAACAAAGTTCTTTCGAAGCAGAATATACATAAGTTACATGGTCAAAGGGTGACACTTAAATATAATCGTATTTATAAAAAATACAAAAACACTAGACGCACTCAACTCAGTAGATAAGCCTAGTCTTACCGAAATCTTAAGTTTAAGAGTACTCCTCCCCTAGTAGGGTAGTTATCCTGGCGTATTTCTGTCCGCGAAAATAGTGGTCAGTCCTCGACACAAGTAACTTATGCATATAAAAGGACAATAAGGCAGTAAATACTACCATAAAAAAGAGCCAGGCTAAATTTACGCTGGAAGAAACCAGTAGCAGAATACATTAACAAGATTCATATGTCAAAGATTAGAAAGAGTAAAACAAAATTCATAGGCTAATTCTTTATCTTAGAAGAATTTTTATAGAAAAACATTGTTACCAGAGGGCCTTGGTTAATATAATCTATAATAAAATCCGAATACAAAGAAGGTTTGTTAGCGCCAGTTTTAATATTCTTGGTTATTTACACCATGACAAACTTAAGTATTGTCAACATATACATATTGGTCAACAAAAGATATCACAATGCAATCATCAGTGCAAAAACATATCCTGGAACTGACATCAATTCCGATCATAATCCTGTTGTTGCAAAAGTTCGCGCAAGATGGAAACTAATAAAGAAACAAAAACCTCAACACCAACTATTAGACATCCAAATATTGAAAAACGACACCATACATCAGACAGTAAATAAAGAATTAAACAAAAATTTAGGAAATATCGACCACAACAGAATTAGCGAGTACGATGACATAAACGTTCTGTGGAAAACTATTAAAGAACAAATGAACAATGTAACGGAAAAACATCTAAAAGTAACACTAGAAATAACAAACAGGAATGGATGACAGAAGAGATTTTACAATTAATGAACAAACGAAGAGAATCTAAAGGAAAAAATGACAAGGACGGAGAATACAAAAGACTAAATAGAATAATTCGAAAAAAAATAACCGAAGCAAAAGAGAAATGGCTGGAAACAAAATGCGTTGAAATATAAGAACTGCAACAAAGGCACGATTTTTTTAATTTACATAAAAAGGTAAAAGAGTTTACATCGACTACCAAGAGAACGACTTTTCACACCATGCTGAACACGGATGACAAACTGCTAGAATCAACGGAAGATAAACTGAAAGAATGGGAAAACTATATTAAAATTCTTTTTCACGACATACGAGAAGAACCAAGATTGGAAAATAACAACGAAGGGCCAACAATTCTGAAATCTGAAATCATAAATGCAATTAATCATCTCAAAACAAATAAAATCCCAGGTCCAGACGGAATATACCCAGAAACGCTCAAATTAATCAGCGAAGAAAATATCGAATTATTTGTCCTTTTATTCAATCGCATTTATGATACAGGTAAAATACCCCAAGATTGGCTGGAGTCAATATTCATCCCACTACCAAAAAAGCCAAACCCACAACACTGCAATGAGTTCCGTCTGATAAGCCTTATGAGTCATGCAGTAAAAGTCCTACTAAAAATCGTACATAATCGTATCTATAGAAAGTGCGAAACAATCATCGGAGACGATCAGTTTGGATTCAGAGCCGGCATGGGAACGAGAGAAGCCCTGTTCAGTTTACTAGTTCTCGCCCAAAAATGCTACGACCAACAGAAAGATATATTTATATGCTTTATAGACTTCGAAAAAGTATTTGATAGAGTAAGACACGACCTACTATTAGAACGTTTGCAAGAAGTCGGTTTAGATGGAAAAGACATCAAATTCTTAAAAAACTTGTACTGGAACCAAAAAGCCAGAGTTAGGATCGAAGGTTCCACATCCGCAGAAGTAGAAATTAGGAGGGGAGTTAGACAGGGATGTGTTCTGTCGTCTCTGCTGTTTAATCTTTACTCCGAGTTTCTATTTAAAGAAGCATTGGAGGATTCCAAGGATGGAGTCAAGGTGAATGGCGTAAATATCAACAGTATCAGATACGCCGATGATACAGTGTTAATTGCGGATTCCGACTCAGGTCTACAACGACTCATCGACAAGACCAACTCGACCTGTGAGCAATTTGGTATGAAAATAAACATTAAAAAAACCAAAGTGATGTCAATCCGAAAAAACCTAAACGTACCTCAACCTTGCACAATAAATGGGCACATCTTAGAACAGGCCAATAGATTTAAGTACCTGGGATGTTGGATCGATAGCAGCCTAAATCCTGATCAAGAAATAAGATCGAGAATAGAACAGGCTAGAAAATCCTTCGAAAAAATAAAAAAACTGCTTTGTGATTCTCGAATAAAACTCGAAATTCGACTACGTTTATCAAAATGCTACGTCTGGTCGACTCTTCTATATGCAGTTGAAATGTGGACCCTTAAAACATCAACCGTAAATAAATTGGAGGCCTTTGAAATGTGGATCTACCGGAGAATACTCAAAATTTCATGGACATCGCATACCTCAAACGAAGAAGTGCTGCATAGAATAGGCAAGGAAAGAGAACTTTTTAACACAGTAAAAGTAAGAAAAACATCATACCTAGGCCACATACTGAGAAATAATAAGTACCAATATGCCCAACTTATAGTGAAAGGAAAAATCGAGGGAAAGAGAGGCCTAGGAAGGAAAAGACTATCATGGCTCAGAAACATCCGACAATGGACAGGGCTAAATTTTGAACAGCTAATAAGAACAGCTGAAGATAGAGAAGAGTTTAAAATTGTAGTAGCCAACCTCCATTGAGGAGAGGGCACTTTAAGAAGAAGAAACTTAAGTATCAAATTTAAATACTCTAGTTCTTTTGGTTAACAAAAAAGCCATAATTATACAAAAATAAGAAGAATACTTGTTACTCTAATATTTAATATAGTTATTTTTTATAGCTAAAATATTATATATACCAAGCTGCAAGAATCAAGGACTTAAGAATTAGAAAAAACTTAACAATAAGAATAATAACAAGCTGACTCCAAACTCAATAGGGTTTTTACTTACACCAAGAGGTATCCAAGTGTCAACTTTAAGGCTCGGGGCTATGCGACATCCACTGGAGTAGCTTTCTTGGTGGAGACTGCCCACTAACTGAGGCGCATCTTAAATGTGCACTGTTTATATTCCTGATCTGCATGCTGGATTTGTACCGGTTAGTTCTAGTTCGGTATTGGAATTTTGTGTGGGTCCGAGCAAAATTTATTTATTATGGGATAAGGATAGGGGTATTGGTGGTGATTTGAATGGCCATATGAGTAGAGAAGCAGCGGGAATAGAAAGGGTTCATGGAGGTTTGAGGATGCTAAACAGAAATTAAGAAGAAAATAGTGTGATTGACTTTACAGTGGCATGGGATTTGAC